AGAAAAAAATACATAACCAGAAAAGGACATACCATCATCTACAAAATGGTCAGACATGGTAGAAGAAGACGAGAAAAACGAAGAAGACGAAAGAAAATCAAAGAAAGGAAAATGGTATGTCATTTACGACGGACCTTTTCGAGGACTCTATAACAACTAGGCAATAGTATCTCACCATGTTACGGGATACAACATCAAACACCAATCATTTTCAACCAAAGAAGAAGCAGAACAGGCATTAAGAGAATCATACAAGGCAATTGCTATGAAACAGAAGACAGAGTCAGCCACTGCACAACAAAAATTAGTGATGAAGATACCAAGCATCAACATTAAGGATATTCCAACCACGAAGCAAAGGGAAGAAATCAATAGACCTACACTTCAAAAATTTCAACAATGCTGGGAAGATCTTCTCAATTGCAAGGAAATTCATACTACCATGGGCTTCTATCCAACCTGTAAGGGAGGACCAAGAGCAGTCATCATCACAGATAAAATCGCACCAACAACACTATTTGCTCTCCATCAATATGGATTAATCGACACAATATACACACAGAAGACTTATATCTTCGAAGAATTTCCAACAAAGTTCAAGACAGTCGTAAAAGGGTATCTAGACTCATTCGCCAAGGGTAGAGAAATCTATCTGCGATACACATCCAGCTATCCCGTATTCAACAAGGAAGAAATGGTCGTGCCATCAAAAGCAATCATCAAAATGGGAGTATCTAATGGCAGCTATCCAACCAGAGATGAATTAGAGACAGCCAGGATACCAGAAGACTATAAAGTCAGATCATTATATTCAGTAAGTCAGGCCCTATATTATCTTAACCCAACAGATAATATTAAAGTCAATTATACCAGCACCAACAAGATCATCATCAGCAATTCTAAAAACCAGATCACAGCAGAAGAATGGGGATTCATCATAGATCTAGCCAAGGATTTTATCAATCTAGAAGGGACGTTAGCCCCACCAACGTCGGAACAAAAACAGCAACTTTATGAATTATTGCAGCTACACGAGGATCACATATGTACCCACTGTGCAGCAGATATGACTACCTCTACTAATAGCAGTAATGGAATCAAAGAAATGTAATCCACCAAGGACAAGAAGACAAAGCATCAAGAATCAAAAGAAGAAAAGAAGACAATGCATTATGCAAAGGCAAAGGCAATGTAAAAGAAGAAAATGACTAAAGGAGAAGATGACTAGGATGACACATCGACTTTGACACATCAAAAAGAAAATGACTAAAGAAGTGTGTCTGTTTTTCTCTTTTGATCAATAATGTAGTCCATAACGTGTGTTTGATTTCTCTTCCTAAGTGGAGAATGATGTAAGTACATATGTAAGCAGGCAACGGTCCTGCATCTATAAATATGTACATCTGAACCTCATAAGGAGGCAGAGTAGAATAAAAGTTTGAGACTTCTCTCTCAAAAGACTAAGTGTAGTCTTGGTGCTTCGGCACAGAGCGTTTGAGATAATACTCTGGAGACGCTCATATCCAATACCACCTATCCATAAAAAACTATACACCAACCATTAACACCACAAAGAATTCTCTAACACCATTTTCAACGATCATAAGCAATCAGCCTCCCTCGCACTACACCATCATGGGGACGTTCAGTAGCAAGAAGTTGCATCAATCAACCTAAGCAACGATCAGGTATGTCGGATAACCCCAGTAGCAGTAACAGTTACTTTGATTATTTAAGTAAAAATGAGGAAGAAAATTATTTTCTAGATGGAAGATTAGATGTCAAGAAAATTAAGGAACAAACTAATTTTACCTTATCAGAAACGCAAAATTTTATTACTAAGTCTTTTTTATCCAAACTATTTGATAGAAAAAATATAATTAACTATGGAAAAATGATAGGAGAAACGGCAGTACCAATAGAACAAACTAAGGGAGATTTCCTAATTTAAATAATAAATAGGGAACAAATTAGGAAAAAATTATCCAAGTTACAACAGGAAGAAATAAAATAGTTTATATTCACATTAGCACGATACAAATCATTCTAAAATCTACTATGAAAACAGGGATAAGTGCACCTATAGAACTAGAAATAAGAGATGATCGACTCATCAATAGAGAAGAGAGTATTATTGCAAAAGGAAAAGGAAATCTAGGAGTAGGAATAATCAAATTCGATATTAATCTACAATAAGGAATTAGTTTAACAGATGGGAATCTCGACTCTTCCATTATTATAAAGTATGAATTGAAAAGAAAAAATTTCATGAAAGAAAACAGTAAACCTTTTTCGGTAACATACCAAATAAACTATGCACTGACGAATAGTCATCATAGTCTAGCGTTTAAAGATAAGGAAGCCATCACCATAGAAGATTTATTCAAACCATTAATTCAATTAGAATCCACTCTAAAAATAATAAAATCAAATTATGATCATCCAAGAATAAGTATAGATGAGAGAAGTTCTTCCATGAGATTAACCGATAAGCAGAAGGAAATGGAGAAAGAAGAAAACAAGGAAATAAAAAACATAACTGTACTTCATCAAAATGATAATACCAGTGAAATAAAAAAGTTACAATAACTAATCGTAGAAATGAGTGAAAAATTGTAAAGATGCCTAACACTCATTACATAAATAAATTGATAGAAGGAATAGATGCAATAGACCTTACATCAGTAGGCGACATTAATACGGTTACGTTAGAATTATCTCACTTCGTATCAGATATTGTAGAAGAACAAATCTCTATCGGAAATTCAGAAACATTAGAGGAAGCCGTATCTAAAACTGAATTAATTACCGATAGAATAACTAGTCAAAACAAAATAAAGCAGAAACTAGAAAATAGATAAACCAAAAACAACAAAATGAAAATTAACCACCTTTATTTGAGCCATTCCATGAAAGAAAAAGAAAGAATGAGACTTGTTGCAGAAAGCAAGGAAAAGAAAGAATGATTAGACTCTTTAGTAGACTTTTTAAAAATAAAGAGACGGTTGATACTTTTGAAAAAACAAGACTTTTTGATATAGAACACATAAATTTAGGAATGTGGAATCGTAGAATTATTGGTATCAGAGCTAAAATGGGAAAAAATCAAAAAGTGCAACCCGCTTCAATCCGACGGGTTCACTTTGACACCTGTACTCTTCTATGTAAAAGAAAGGGTAAACATGACCTTTCACTTAAAAATTAACTTTCTCATTTTATTCCTAAAATTACAATCACAACTAACAAACAATGTAATCTTATAATACATGCATTTAGACAATACATCAATTTACAATACAAGTATTCATACAATACATCAATTCTAACAATAGCAAACACCAAACTACCGGGTTAATTGCATCAATTGCCACTTAAGTTTACATTTTGTTGCACGGTGGCCACCTAAGTGTATTTTGTTGCACATAAACCATTTACGTCAAATACTAGTTGCAACGTCACCATTTCCGTCAATAAAACTAACAATAGGTACCTAATATTAATTTTCCCTGTCATGTTGGCAGTCCACGTCACCTTCTGAAGCTGAGTCAGACTAGCCCACTTTATGGAGAATTTCTCCATAAAAATTGGTGCTTTCTGCGCGGAAGGATAGAGTATATTCCGGCGAGGATTTGGACTCCACTCCACCAGAAGAATCTTCCGTCACCGATGTGGATTCTACAAATAAAAGGTATAAACTGCTGCTTTGTGCATGGAATTGCCGCCGACAGCAACAACTGGGATCGCTAGAGCAGGGGACGAAGATAATATGAGATGAAATCGCCGGTGGATCCATAATCCCCGAGGAAATTTCTAATTTTGATGTCAGAAATAGATAATGATTATTCGTTCAAACAAGTTCCCCTCCATTGCATTTTTCTTGCCGTCTATTGATTGGATTTGTGAGTTCTTTTAGCCACTAAGCCAAGAACAGAGTACTCTGTTTCTTCTACAATTAAAATGGCCAAAGAAAGAAAGGTCTCTATTTTCATCACTACCACTAGTCCCCAACCCAATCACCTTCAGGAACAAAGTAAAAAGAATACTCATTGAAGAAAAATATGCATTTACTAATTCAACAAGAAACTACGCATAGCAGATACCAGCATTAATACAAAACTAGAAAAAAACAGAGACAAGCTCCATACACTCGGAACCTTAAAAAACGATCAATCCACCCAACAAAACAAACAACCGTCACGCTAATGTATTGATCGACTGATCGATCAACCCACCTTCTACTCCTTAATGCCACTATCTGCTCCCTTTCCGGCTCGAGGGCGAGAAACGGGCTCACCATCGCAAAATCATCACCCCGACTTTCCACATGGTGAATCTCAAGGTAAGAGCTTCAATTAGTTTTCTGATTAGTTTATTTCTCTTCCGGGAATAATTCTATAATTAAAAAAAGAAATCGGTGTCTTTCCTTGTTTAGTTCAGTTGATGTTGCCAGTGGTGGCGGAGAGCGTGACCGGAATGATGGACAAGTAGACCTAGGCAATGTCCAACTCCAGCCAGGTCGAGGTCGAAGTCTCCGAGTGGTTCCAGACCCGGAGGAGGACGTCATCACCCGAACCGCCTTCAGAATTAGTTACGACGACGGGAAGGCCATCTCCAGGTTCAGCAGATGCTCCTTGCCGCCAAATCTTTCCAGAAAGTTTTTACCGCCGACTACCGGTAAAAAAATTCTACAGAAAAGGGTCAACGAACCCACCTTGCAAGTTGCAAGTAATAAGGGGCTCATTCTTAAAGTGGGCCAATGTGAATCAGTTTGAGAAGGTGACGTGGACTCCTGACATGGCGAGGAAAATTATATTTAGGTACCTACTGTTAGCTGTATTGACGGAAATTATAACGTTGCAACTATTATTCGACATAAATGGTTTATGTGCAACAAAATGCATTTAGGTGGCCACCGTGCAACAAAAAGTAAACTTAAGTGGTAACCGATGCAATTAACCCCCAAACTACCTATAAAACCCAGTGAGTACAACAGCAAAATCAGTTGTATTGATACATTATAGAATAATAATATTTAGCAGACTGGGTTAGAAAACAAGAACAGCCAAACGCTGCGCACTCAAACCTACGAAACACCGTCGCGAAGATCTGAAAATGGCGACTAGGTTGGCCAACAGAGCCTCCTCCTCCAATCAATCCCTAAATTTCCTGCGCTACTCTTTCAAATTGCTAAGAAACTTCAGCACTTCTTCGAATTCGACTTCTGCTCAAACCCCACCGTCGACTAATACCCCTTCCAAGAAATCGAAGCGACGCAAGAAGAAAAACCTATTCGAGGTCGCTCAATTTTTGCCCAATTGGGGTCTCGGTTACCACTTGGCCAAAGCTCATTGGACCAGTGTGTCCTATGAGATCACCAAAATCAATCTATACAAGGTTTCTTTTCTGTTTGTTTCCCCTCTTTCAGTTCCTTTTCATTTGTATTTCTGTAGCATTTTGTACTCTGCGGTCCCTATAATAGATCAAAAGCGGAGGGGCGGGGAGGAAATCCTGCAGTATTAGGGTTTTGATTGTTGGTTGGTGCTTTGCAGGATGGTAGACACGGCAAGGCATGGGGGATCACTTACAAAGACGGTTAGTGTTCGACTGAATGTTCATCCTTTAGCATAGTAATAATTCCTTGGGTCTTCCTTTCTCTACGTGGATGCCATGTTTAATTGAAGTATTGGTGGGTTTGGTTTCTTGATTTCATTTGATTGTTTGTGTTTGAAATTTGCCCAAAGGGCTGGCAAATCGAATGTTGAAAACTCAATTGTGAACTCGAGTCTGTTTCAAGTTGGTGATCAGCACAACAACATTATTACAGTTCTTTGGATGATTTCTTTTCATCCCTGCTGTTTACTAGGGATAGTGATTAGTGTGTATGGACTATTTCAGACTTTACTCTTTTCAGTTTTGAAGTTTTGAGGTCAAAGTGTAGATGCTATTGCTAGTTATACCAAAATAGCCGTCCTTGGAACATACTACATGAGAGGTGAGAGCACTTTTTAGTCTTCGAAATGGTTGTTGTTACTTCCTACTCTTAAATGGTATGAGCACACTCCAATACGTGTGATTGACACGCACTATTGAAGTTGGAATTAGCCAAATCATGTACACCGAGTTTGCATGCTTAGTTTCTGATGAAATCTTTCTTGTTTTTTATTGATTAGAACTGAAAATAACGGAATCGTAACCCCTGAAATTACTGTCATTGTTGAGCTTGAATAGATGAGAAAGATTGCCGAATGTGGATGAAGTTTCTTAAGCTGTGTCTGACTCTGACGTATCCTTGTCACTTAAAACACAGTTTTGCTTAGCCTTGAACCACAATTCAATCTGTTTATTATGGTTCTCAATGAGGACAGAAAAGATCCTTGTGGATTATGTATGTATTCTTGTCTACAAATGACCACTTCCTTATCAAGCTCCTATTCCTGTTCTCATTGAGATTTCTTGTGTATTTGGCAATACAGCAACATGATTAGCTATGATAAGACCATCTGTTATATAGTTGCTCTGAACTACTACGTGGAGATAACCTTTTCATCCAATGTTTATCTCACTGGTAAATTATAATACAGGATTACCTGCTGCAGAAGCTCCCAAGAAGATTAGTGGAGTTCATAAGCGTTGCTGGAAATATCTTCCTGGCTTAAAAAAATTGAATCAAAACTTGGTACACTCCCCAAGTCCGACAACAACGACCGAAACTGCTGCTCATGGTGAAGTTCAAGCTGCCTGATGGCATGTTGTCAGCTAAAGCAGCGATCTTTCGTTCAGAGGACTGGTTTCTGGGACTTCGAGTGCAGTTAGTAGGAGTTCATTTTGGCTTGGTTGTTTACTCAGAAACTCTGCTGAAATGAACGTGACAGTGATCTGAGGGAACATTAGCAGAAAGGTCCGAACTGATATTATCCAAGGTTTTCGAAACGATACCGGTGGTTTGCCGGACAAATTAATGAAATGCTATGTAGTGTTACATTTGTTCAACTGATAGTATACCGGTGAAGAACGTAGCTGAAATAAAATAACTTCAGATTGATATTATACAATGCAGCAATCATCATACACAGAACGCGCAGCTCCTCTGGACTGGCCGTTATTTACAAGATTGTATGTAAGCCACTGTCGTTGATAACAACCAACAATAATCTGTCATTTACCTGACGAAGAGAAGGATTAAAAGATCTCTGTTCCTACATAACGCCCTGTGAATTCATGTACAGAACCGCAAGGTTCTTCACCGCCATCGGTAACCTCTCCTGAAAACAACCTCTCAGAAAGCTAATCTGTCCATACCAGCGAAGAAAACAAGTGATTATACATTGACCAATTCTGCAATTCTGCATGCCACGCTTCCGCCCGCAAATTTTGTCCCTTCAACGTCATAATCATAACAAGTTCTGCAAAACAATGCAGCCTTAAAAGATCCGCCACCCCGATCGATCCAGAAAACAAAACGCGAAGAGCAAAGCCTGTATCCGGCCAAAACCCACAACAGCCACCTCATTCCTTTCGCTTTCTCATCTATCTATGCTCATTGTTCTACGTTGGGTTGGTTAAATCTGTCTGATATGAGCTTTCTTTCTACATTTTCTATAGCTGGGAATGGAGTCGGCCGTTACCCAGATACAGTAGTTTGACTTGTAAACTAAACTGTTCCCTCTCCCAGCCATTGCTATATATACATCCACGGACTCTGCATTCCCTCTTCATGCCTTCTCAACACATTCCTCATTAATTCTTCCGATTTCAAGTACCTAATACAGCTTCAACTCTATTTCGTCTCCGACAAAAAACAAACATGGTTGCTGCTGCCAGCATGTCGTGGAAGACGATGATCATCGCTTTCTTTGCTGTTTCTGCCCTTGCGATCCTCAACGGAGCCCTCGGCGATCTGATATGCGAGGAGCTTCCAGTGGAGCTATGCGCCTACTCGATCTCGGACGCAGGGAAGAGGTGCGTGCTGGAGAACTACGTGGCCAGAAAGGGGACGGTGAATTACCAATGCAAGACATCGGAAGTGGTGGTGGACGCCATGAAGGGATGGATCGAGACGGAGGCATGCATCAACGACTGCGGCGTCGACAGAAACGCCGTCGGGATCTCTTCTGATTACCTGCTGTCCCCCAACTTCGTCGCCAAGCTCTGCTCCCAGCCCTGCTTCACCTACTGCCCAAACATCCTCGATCTCTACTCCAACTTGGCTCAAGCTGAAGGTAAAACAGAAACAGATGTAATATTATTTAATTGCCTGCATAAGTTCCTTCTGTCAAGAACCAATTGATCTTAATAACTCGAGTTGTTGAGAGACCTCCCTCAAACGAAAGCCACTCACAAGGGCTTGACCTCTCAGTCACAGAAGACTCTGATACCATGTCAAGCACCAATTGATCTCAATAACTCGAGTTGTTAGGAGAGGATCAATCGTGGATCATATACCACACACTAACACCTGCTACATCCTAAACCAGAACCTGACAGTATTACTATTTGTTTGGCGTATGGGTTATGTGCAGGGATGAACTTGCATGATATCTGCAGCGGTGGGAACACTGCTCCTCGTCGTCGCTCGATGTACGATCTGCCCAAGAGTTCAGGTTGGGCTGTTGCTGCTGTCGATGGAACTGTTGGGGAAGGAAATGGAGCTCCACTTGGTTCTCCACTGTCTTCTCCTGCTTTTACTTTTGCGGATGATGGTATCACTACTGCATTTGCTCCTTCTTCTCCTGATACCTACTGAGGGGGGAAGGATGTACTGGATTCCACTTTAATATGATTTCTCCTGTGTGTATAGATGTGTCCTTTTGGAACAAAATTTGGGTTTTTATACTTCGTATGTTATCTAATTTGATTTACACATGAAATACTTTGGTCTATCTAATAAATTTTAGTTATATATAATTTGCGTTCAATTTGTGCTCTTTCGCATCATCCTTACATAGTGCGATCATGCCGATCATTTTTTATTTTATAATTTGAATGTGCTCACTGTACTTTGTTTTCTCGTTTTTCTTCATCCTTTCAATTTCTCATTCTGTTTGGTTGCTTGAACTCAGACATGGTTCCTCCGATTTGTTTGCCATGAATAAAGTATTAGGGTAAACATGTCTCTATTCTTGTATTTTTTTGAAAAGCACATGAATTTTTTATAGCAATTATCGTATGTATACTTGTATTGAGTAGAAAAAGTTGCATACAATCAACCCATCAATTGATGGACTAAGAAAATATAAGGCATGTCCACAACTCCTCTTCCTCCCCACTCACACAAGCTAAACTGACCTGATCCAGAATGCGAGATCCTTGATTTCCTTACACGAGTCACTCACCTCTATCTTGGCAAACTCCATCTCTTTAGTTGTTGCTACTCCTGCTGCTTGAGCTCGGATTCGTGTTCATCGGCTTGAAGAGCCCAATCGTCGGGGTTGTCTCATGGACGACCTGAACTCCCAACGCGCTAATGACTCTGTCCCATAAACTAATAAAAAATGTTGGAATTTTAATTTTCTTAGAGTCCACCTAAGCTTTGATTTGGCGCTAACAGGAATTTCAGTACGAAACTAACGAAGATTACACAAATGATATATAAAAATTACGTAATATAAATGACGCACTCCCTAAAGGTTGGTATTTCTAGTAGTATACTTGTATTAGCTTTTTTTAAATATGACACAAATTCGTTGTGCGGGATTTGTGAGATCTGTGGTGCTGCAGGGAAGCTAACAAACATGGCGTTCAATGCAAATGCTGCTGCATCGGCAGCATCAGCAGCTCCGATGATTCTGGTGGGGGAATGGGTAGCTAAGCTATTATGTAAAAAGCTTGAGGGTATCTTGTATTGATTGTTTGTATAATAGTTTCAAGCTTAGTATGTATGACTCCCAAGCACTTAGCTTTTTGTATATTCCGATTCAAAATTTTCTCCGTTAGAAATGAAAATTGAAGTGTATAGCTTACTGGTCTGTGTCCAAAATTTGGTTTCTTCTCATGCCAAAAGCTGGAGGAAGGATTCTGATCCTTTTGGAATCTACATCTGTTAATGATTTACCATAGAAGACTCTGTTTTTTTGGGTAGAAACATAGAAGACTCTGAAGCAGAACAAAACCACTTTCATCATATCGATTCAGAACATCAAGCAATCTGTAACATTATACAATCGAACATGATATGTTTGACGATGGCCATATTTCAATCTGAATCGCTCTTTGTTTCCATTTTTGTGGGATTGTCCATTCTGAAGTCAGCAACAGCCTTGTCCAGAGCGCCCCTCACATGCTGACAGAACCAAATGCAGGATCAAGGTCCAAGAGAAGAAGAAAGGAAGCTGGATTGTTCTGTTGTAATCCAGATGACAGCAGGATTTGCAGAAGAGAAGAAAAGCAGAGGAAGAAACGGCAACGTTTTCTTATGTCGACAGAAGGAGAAGGAAGCAACGGCAGCGTTTCATTTAGTAGTTGTTAGCCGTTATAATTACTGTTTATTTAAAACTTGTAGCCACTCTCGTTTGGACACGTGTTTCGTTTCTGCTAATTGCTGGGTTTGATATAAAAGAACAGAGAAGCCTCAGAATGAGCTGAGCTCCTCTTTCCAACATTTCTGTAAAATCGTCATGGTATCAGAGCTTCCGCCGCTCTAGGGTTTTCCGCAAGCGACGACAGAATGTCAGCGAGGCAGACTCCACCTCAGACGCCGCCGAACAATGGGAGCACCGGCAGTGGAACAACATCAGCTTCAGGGGTGCGTTTTGGTTCCTTCGACCAGACTCAAATCCAGCCTGAGACAATCGTCTTTGGTAACCCCTACTACCTTAACCCAAATGAGAACATGTCTCAATCTCTTGTTGCTGAGCCTTTTGATGGCACGAACTATGTTATGTGGAGTCGTTGTATGCAAGTTGTGTTGAAAGCAAAGAACAAGATCGGTTTTATAGATGGATCTGTTCCAGTACCACCTCGAGATGCAGATCTGTTTGGTCTGTGGGATGCCTGCAACACAGTGGTCTTGTGTTGGATTCAGAACTCCATGACCAAAGAACTTAGGAGATCGATACTGAATCATAACAATTCGAAAACACTGTGGGAGGAACTAAAGGCCTAATGCTATGAGGATTGTGAACCTTGAAGACGAGATCCAAGCCTGTAAACAAGGATCCAAGTCCATTACTCAGTATTACACTGCCATTAAGGGTCTTTGGGATGAGTATGTGGAGTTTAGCCCCATTACTCCTTGTACTTGTGCACCTGGAAATCCAATTCCTTGTGCTGCAGTTGCTGCCTTTGTGCAGAAGCAAGAAACTGACTACTTGATACGTTTCTTGAGAGGTTTGAATCCAGACTATGAAGTGGTTAAGACGCAATTGCTTATGCAAAAACCTCTTCCCACTGTATCTGCTGCTGTTGATGACTTACTCCAGCATGAACAGAAGCTGAAGGCAGACACAACTACAAGTGGAAAGAAGGGACAGAGCTTGGCTTTAGCAGTTGGGAAGAACAGTTCAAGGGAGAATACAGATTCAAAGGGAAGGAAGTTTTGTCGGTTTTGTAAGATGAACAATCATACTATTGAGGATTGTTGGAAGTTGAAGAGGAAACAGGAGATGCAGAAGGAGAGAAACTCTAATGAGGGGTCAAGTTCCAGTTCCAGTACTCCTCGGTTTGCTGGGTCTATTTCTCAGGGAAGTGGAAATGAGAGTGCATCAGAAGGAGGTATAGCCATTGAAGGTAAGGTTACTGCTCCCCCTGCCTTTACTCCTGAAGAGATGAATCGTCTCAGGTACCTACTGCAGACTGGTGCTAATACATCATCCCCACCTACCTCTCCATCTCTTAACCATCAAGCTTACTCAGCCACCTTCCACCCAACTACCTTTCCCAACTTTTCAGGTAAACTTGCCTTGTCTTCTTCTCCAAGTAATGGAACCACTAATCATAACCTATGGATTGTAGATACAGGAGCATCAGACCATATTGCCTGTAGTCTAAACCTCTTTTCCAGCTGCAAACCAGTCCATGATTCCTTTGTTTACCTTCCAAATAGCACCAAAGTAGCAGTCACACATGTAGGAATAGTTAAGTTGGCCTGTGGCCTAACACTACATGATGTCCTGTTTGTTCCCCATTTCTCATTCAATCTCATCTCTGTTAGCAAACTCACACATGACTACCCTTTTTCCTTACACTTTCACTCTGATAAATGTGAAATCCAGGACCTGATAAGCCAGAAGAGGATTGGTTTAGCCCACACCACTAGAGGCCTCTATCACCTAGCACTCCCTTCAAGCTCCATCAAGCCTTCCATCACTGATCACCAACATCAAGCAGCCTTCACCTTCAACTTTCAACCCCAAGACCTGAACCTGTGGCACTGGAGGCTAGGACACCCTAGTCATGATAGGCTTTCCTTACTTAGTTCTGTAATTCCAACTCTTTCCAGACCTAAGACTCTTCACTGTGAAGTCTGTCATTTGTCCAAACAAAGAAAACTACCATTTCCCATTAGCACCAGTGTTGCACCTGAGATTTTTCATCTTGTTCACATGGATATTTGGGGTCCCTTGTCTACTGTTTCTTATGATGGCTTTACCTATTTCTTGACTGTTGTGGATGATCATTCAAGATGTGTATGGGTGTATTTGATGAAGCATAAGAGTGAAGTTAGAGACTTAATACAGGGTTTCTGTAACCTGGTTAAAAACCAGTTTAACACATCAGTCAAGGTGATAAGAACTGATCAAGGTAAGGAGTGTGAGATGTGTGAGTTCTTCAAAACAGAAGGGATTGAACACCAGGTTTCCTGTGTGGAAACACCAGAACAGAATGGAAGGGTAGAGAGGAAGCACCAGCACATTTTAAATGTTGCTAGATGCTTAAAATTCCAATCAGGGTTGCCTCTAACCTATTGGAGTGATTTTGTTTTACATGCTGTGTATCTGATAAATAGGATTCCCACACCTATTTTAGATAACAGAACCCCCTATGAGTTACTTCACAAGCAAGTGCCACCCCTTGGGCACTTGAAAGTGTTTGGCTGTCTTTGCTATGCCAACACATTATCCCATGCCAGAACAAAATTTGCTCAAAGAGCCAGACAATGTGTGTTTCTTGGTATACCTGCTGGTATCAAGGGTTATAAGGTTCTGGATATACATGATAGAAAAGTCTTCTTTTCTAGAGATGTCTCATTCTATGAGACTATCATCCCTTTCAAAACACAACCAGTCTCCACTCCCTCCCTGTCTCCACCCATTTCCCCTTATTCTGTTCCCTCTCAAATGCCTTCTCATGCTCCCCCACTTCATGTTCCCTTTCCCATTGTACCACCTTCACGACCTGTGTCAACCCCTGCTCAGTCTCTTTCATCTATAGATGAAGGGGGGGACACTGAGCCTAGTCCTGAAGCAATGTCATCTGAGCCAGTCCTCACTGATGGCAATGATCATTACACATATTTTGACTCTGATAGCCAGGAATTACACATCCAAGCTGACATAGATCCTGATGACCCTAATACACTTGAAGCCAGGAAAACCTCCAGACAAATCAATCTACCTACCAGATTCAAGGACTATCAGTTAGATTCCACACTCAAGTTTGGAGCCTTTGGCACTAGTCAAGCATGTGGCAAACATCCAGTATGTTTGAATGTTCATTCATTGAGCAAAGAAGACCAACTGTATGTCCTGAGTGTACTGAATCATGTTGAACCAAGGTCTTATTATGAAGCCATCAAGTCTGATGTGTGGAATAGAGCAATGAAAGAAGAGATGCATGCTCTAGAAGCAAACCAAACTTGGGATATAGTTCCCCTACCACCAGGAGTGAAAGAAGTGGGAAACAAGTGTGTCTATAAGATAAAACTACTTCCAGATGGTTCATTGGAAAGGAACAAGGCCAGATTGGTGGCCAAGGGGTATACACAAGTGTATGGTATCGATTTTCTGGATACATACTCCCCTGTGGCAAAGATAAATACAGTGAAGACATTTTTGGCAGTGGCAAGTGTAAAGAACTGGATACTTGAGCAGTTGGATGTCTCCAATGCTTTCTTGCATGGAGACCTGGATGAAGTTGTGTACATGAAGTTGCCATTAGGACTGGAAGTACCTTCAGGGAGTAATCAGAAGATGACCTGTAGACTCAAGAAGTCACTGTATGGGCTCAAGCAAGCCTCTAGACAGTGGTTTGCCAAACTGACCTCTTTTCTCTTGAGTTTGGCTTCTCACAGTCTGCCTCTGATTACTCACTTTTCACTAAGTGGACACATGGTAAGGTAACTGTTTTGCTAGTTTATGTTGATGACATAATTCTGGGGGGAGACTCAAAGAAGGACATTGAACAAGTGAAGTTGGCTCTTAGCAAAGAATTCAAAATCAAGTTGTTGGAACCACTCAAGTACTTTCTGGGATTAGAAGTGAGCAGAGATGCAAGTGGATTGAATGTTTGTCAGAGAAAGTACTGCTTGGAGCTTTTGAAAGACACAGGCTATCTTGAATCGAAGGGGTGCAAAACACCAGTTGACACCAAGGTTAAATCAACATCCAAAGGAACTCCTATGGATGATGCAGAAGGGTATAGGAGATTGGTTGCCAGGCTACATTACCTGACCATCACTAGGCCTGATATAGCATTTACTGTGCAACAGCTATGCCAATATCAGAGGTCTCCTTGCCAGGAACACATGCAGGCAGCCTACAGAGTGTTAAGGTACCTGAAGTCCTCACCAGATCAGGGGATACATTTCAGCAGCAAGGCTGAGTTAACTATGACAGCCTATAGTGACTCAGATTGGGCAAGTTGTCCAGACACAAGAAGATCCATCACTGGATACTGTACCATGCTTGGTACTTCTTTGATCACGTGGAAAACGAAGAAGCAGACTACAGTTTCAAGGTCTTCCTCAGAGGCAGAGTATAGAGCACTAGCTCACTTGGTTTGTGAGGTGGAATGGCTAAAGAGGCTGCTAGCTGAACTGACAGTACAAGTTCCTCTACCCATTACTGTTTACTGTGACAACAGATCTGCAATTCACATAGCAGAGAATCCCGTCTTCCATGAGAGGACTAAACACATCGAGATTGACATGCATGTGACAAGGGAAAGGGTGAAACTTGGTTTGATAAAGCTGAAGTACATCAACACTGCAGAACAGTTAGCAGACATTTCCACAAAGGGCCTTGATCGTTTCAGGTTGAGAGAATTGCTGGTCAAGTTGGGGATTAAGCTGACACCACCAACTTGAGGGGGGATGACAGAACCAAATGCAGGATCAAGGTCCAAGAGAAGAAGAAAGGAAGCTGGATTGTTCTGTTGTAATCCAGATGACAGCAGGATTTGCAGAAGAGAAGAAAAGCAGAGGAAGAAACGGCAACGTTTTCTTATGTCGACAGAAGGAGAAGGAAGCAACGGCAGCGTTTCATTTAGTAGTTGTTAGCCGTTATAATTACTGTTTATTTAAAACTTGTAGCCACTCTCGTTTGGACACGTGTTTCGTTTCTGCTAATTGCTGGGTTTGATATAAAAGAACAGAGAAGCCTCAGAATGAGCTGAGCTCCTCTTTCCAACATTTCTGTAAAATCGTCACATGCTGGCACATTAGCATCAAATTCTGGCAACCATCCTTCAGTACTTCCCTTGCTGGGTCACCTGCATAATTCCCATTTCAAGACATTGTCACTCATAATGAAACACACGTTAATACTTAATAGTGAGAATGAACAATTTGACAAAAGAAACCAAGCAAAAGCGTATCCATGACAAAAGAACAATTTGAGCTAACATGAGAATGAAGAACTGGAAAAGAAGAACAGACCCATTAGTAGCAAAATGCTAAACAAGTTCTTGAACCCACAAGATTCTGACTTTGTTGTAATGAAATCAGGATAGCGTAGAAAAGGGAATTCCACAGCAGTACCTGTAGTTTGAATTCTAATGTTAACTCGAGCATCTGAAGGATGAGGAATGCTGTATCCACAAACAGATACCCTTGGACTGCAACAGTAGCGCATGGGGATGAGCTCATCACATAATAATAGGAGACTTTTTCTTTAAAGCAATTGGAAGTAGCTAAGGGAACAGACTCTTGATTCAAGCAGAATCGGACGGAATTTGCAAGTGTGTGGTCTTCGTCAACAAAAGAGAAGGTTGCTTTGCTTGGATCATTCAAAGAACCGTGCTCCATTTCTCTACAATTTCTAGCAAAAAAAAAAAAAATCAAACTGAACCCGCAAAAAGAAAACGAGGAGAAGGAGTCCATAGACGAAAAAGGAAAAGAAGAACAGCAGCATCTTCAAACCTACCAACAGAATTACAGAACTCAGTAAGTAATCAGTACCTGACTGAGAAGGAAAAGAGACCGGCGGCACGATAGGTAAAGAGGCTGCTCTGCTGGGAGAAAGAAGAAGTCGAGGGACAGGGGAGGTTCGGGTCGAACCGTCGAAGGGTTTTAGACTTTTAGCCAAGGTTGTCAAATCGGTTTATGCCGGTGTGCCGGTTTTGTAAGTGGAATGGTCTGACCGTGGTACAACCAGTATTCATGCCGGTTGTGCCGGTTTTAATAAAATACATGAGGAAAATGGAAATCCTCAATTCCAAATAAATTAGTCATAAAAAAGCAATTAGAAGAATTATTTCACACAAAATAATTTATAGCTAAGAATTGGTAAATAATACTAAACAATTAGATGCTTAAAAATAAAATTTCATTTATGTTTATAATGATTTGTGTAAAATTTAGTATTAGATATATAACATATAAGGTTAATATAGACAACAAAATTGCTTCTAGTCTACTGGTGTATAAGTTAAACTAAAATGAACAAGAGGTCCTTGGTTCAAATCCTATGGAAGATGTTTATTTTTGGATATAATATGGGTAACATTAAATTCCGGTTTCTGGTCTAACCGGCCGGAATTTCCGGATTTGACCACAGTTAAATACCGGCCCCTTTCCAGCCGGTTTGCTGACCGGTACCGGTTGAACCAGCCGGCATGAAACCGGTTTGACAACCATGCTTTTAGCAATTCTAGGTTTTGTTTCTGAATTATCCTTCTTCTTTCGGTTTCTTTTGTGTTAAACGACAGCGTTTCATCCTAGGATGTGATTGGCTGATCGCGTGATATCAAATTTTTACCCTTCTTTTAAGTGGGAGCAGATCTAAGTGTGGAAAATTGAAGAAATTTATTTTTCTAGTTATCTTAATCGGACCATATCTTCTTCATTCTAACTCGCAATGCAGTTAAAATCGCGCTTTAAAACTTAAAAATTTACGGTTTTATGCTTCTAGAACACTAAAACGCTTTCGTTTCCATATAAAATCTTAAGTGTATAAAATCGGGACCGAAATGCGCTTTAAAGCTTAAAAGCTTACGCTTTTACGCTTCTGGTTCACCAAAACGCTTTACGCTTTTACGCTGGAAGTGGAAAGTGCCCTTCTCGCAGCCATGGAACCAATTTTTACCAATTCTCGGTAATCTGAACCTGATAATTTGAAACACTAAAACGCTTTCGTTTCCATATAAAATCTCAAGTGTATAAAATCGGGACTGAAATGCGCTTTAAAGCTTAAAAACTTACGCTTTTACGCTTCTGGTTCACCAAAACGCTTTACGCTTTTACGCTTCTAGTTCACTAAAGGAGTATTCTATTCACGAAAATACTTGTATTTTACAGGTAAATCACAAAAAATATTATATATTTAAGATTAAAAGATACATATCAAGTACTTGGGTGCATTCTTAGTTTCAATAGAGTAATCTAATTCACCAACTAGGTGTTGGGATTTTAAAGGTGTGAATGAGAATGAAAGGGGAAGAAGCCAATAGTTGGTGAGTTATTGGTTAAACCAAGTTGAACCGAATCAGACCGGGTGGCGGTTGGAATGAACCAACCGGTCCAACAACTATGGCGAACCGATGCAATGGTTGGGGTGTAACCACCCACTTGAAGGGTCACATCCCTTCACTGAACCATTGCAATGGTTGGGGTGTAACCACCCACTTGAAGGGTCACATCCCTTCACTCGCACCCCTTCATTGTCTATAAATAAACACCTACCCCTTCTGTTTTCTATACAAGTGAGTTTTCCCAAGAAATTTTTCTGGCCAAAATATAAAAGAATTTTTCATTCTTCATTGCATTTCCTCTCTACAAACTCATAAAGAAAAACAGAGTCGTGTGACTTCTCTCCGATCGTTGCGTTCGTCGGATTCTGGTGTTTCAAGTACCGGTACAGCCAGAAAAAGTACGTCCGTTCTATCCTGGGAGGAATAGTTCCAATAACCTTGGGTACCGTAGAGGGGAACTAAATTCCTTAAGGAGAAATAGTGAATTCTATTGGCTCGGGCGTTGTTTGTGCATGTGTCGATTTCTATATATGACTTGTGTGGTAAGAAACATACTTTTGTGAAACATTTTCCATAACACTAGGCCCTTCCCAAAATCACTAGCTTAGAGGGGAAGGTTGCTTATGGTTAAGATATATGTTTATGAACTTATTGTTAAAATGTATGAGTTTCTCAACTTTAGACATGAATTACAGGTATTTATTAACTTATCTAAACTATGTGCACTCATATTTTACATAGTATATGCCGTACTTAACACATTTCCATTATTTTACAGTATGCGTAAAAACTTACGTTTTTACGCTTTGATTCTACCTTTACGATTTTATCCATTTTCCGCTTCTAGGTAGAATCGCGCTTTTGACTGCATTGCTAACTCGGATTTTAATTTTTTTGCACAGATGGAACGAGTTCGTTGTGCTCTACAAAATGAGATCCATTTTCAATATTTTTTGAGAAAAAATAATTTCATACCTCTCGGTACAACTCCGTACCATATGGTATCTACTTCGTTTTTTAGTCATTTTCGGAAATTTTTGCACAGAAAGAACGATTTAATCATGATCTATTGGATTTCAAAATTTTCTGGATGAAAAAATTTCATACCTCTCGTTACCAACTCTATACCACCTTGATACGAGGTGGTATTTTTCATACCATATGGTATGCTCTTATTTAATACCAGTCAATACCATATGGTATAGATTGGTAATAACTGATTCAAATTTTTTTGTTCCAAAAAATATCAAAGTGGATATCATTTTGAAGAGCACAATTATCTGATCTAACTGTGCAAAAAAAAAAAATTTAAATTCCGATTTAAAACGACTGAGAAATGGTCCGTTAAAGATTAAATGAGGGAAAATTAAAGGCTTTTTCGGGAGAGAGAAGGGGTGCTGATGTGGCGGAGTCTGATTGGGTTGTGCATGGGGTTACTGACCACAATGATATTGACAGGATCCGCTCCCCTTTGCTCGCGTGTCATTGGTTTGGGGTGTTCAAATAGTTTTTATAGTAATTATTAAATCAATTAACCGACTAAATTAACCTAACAACCCAATTAATCAAACTAAATTACAATCAGTTTGGTTAATGGTTAATCAGATCAGTACGTAGGAAAAATCTCTTATTAATGCATCAATTCTCGATTTATATAATGAATAAAATATAACAATTAAGTATTGACACATAGTTAACCGTTAACGTAAATAAATACATCTAATACAAGTATCTTAAAGTTATTACAAGTAGCCACAGAACAAAAATACATGAAAATGATATAGGATTAAAGAATTGGGTGTATTTGTGTAAATTGTCTGACTAATTTGAGAGTGGGAAAAAGTCATTCACTGTCAGGATTTCCAGCACCCAATGTATGAGTTTTATCCAAATTAGGTGTACGTATGTTGTTGCTCCACTCTACATGAACAAATATAGTATAGGAATAATAATAAGTTTTTTTTTATGAGACCAAGAGATAGGAGCACTTGATTCTTGACTGATTATGAAAATTATGAGTATATGATATATTAGATATATGACTAATTGCTTAATTTTGATTCATTAGGAGTGTCTAAAATTAGGTAACCCTATTCGTATACATAGTCCTCGCGCTAGTTCGCGAAAACACGAATCCTTTACAGAACACCCAAAATCCACGAACTGGTTATTGTAAGAGCGCAGATTTATGGTGAACTTCCTTTTCCGAAGGAAATTGGCCAGGAAAAAGTCGCGGTCGCCGTATTTCATCCTCTTCAGACAGAGTAATTCTTAGCTCCAACCATCCACATGTCATATTGTTATTGGTGGACTCACCTTCCTTTTTCTTAATATTTAATGTTCTTAATTATGCTAAATAAATCAATAATTAAAGGATAAAAAAGAAAGATAAACTCACTAATAGGAAACTGACATGTGGCTAGTTGGAACTTCAGCGTCCAACGCTAATAATTTTCCCTTCCGGCACCATCAGATGACTTCAGTGTCTCATCAACACCAGCTGAACTGTAGTGCTCCATCCTTCCTCCAATCGCCATCGACTATCTGTCACCGGCTCCACTAAAGAACAACACCTCTACTCAATACGGGGACTGGCGAACTTTTAGGATTTGGATTTAAAAGGGGAATTTCAAAATTGGAAGGAGTTAGAGAGTAGTTTGATTCACACGAAACTACACCCCAAATTAATCCCGACTAGAGCCCAAGTTTTTAAACTCTAGCCGGGGGCAATATAGAGCAAGTATTTAAATTGCCAACCCGGGCCGGTCCATGTACTCCTACTTCAATCGCTTAAGTTGTTATCTAACAAACCAGTTTTGGGTTTTTAAACTAAGAAAACTACAAACTAAACAAGCCAAGAAAAGTAAATAAAGGAAAACTCTAACTAAGGGAGCTTCACCTAGGAGTTGCTTCCCCCTAACTGGCTACCATGACTCGTTGGATTGAATGGAGTCGTGTGGCGTAAGTGGTTGTGAACCTTGGGGGTGAGCAACTAGTGGTCGATTTATCACGGAATCAATTCACTAGCAATCGATTTGTCACGGGATCGATCCACTCACCAAGTCTAGGGGAACTACTAGGAGGAGCAACTAGTGATCCATTTGTCACGGGATGGATTCACTAGAGATCGATTTGTCACGGGATCGATCCTTTTACTCAGTCTCTAGTGGTTGCCTAGGTCTCTCCCTCAAACCGGAGTTCGAGCGGCTTAATCACAACCAACCTATATGCAAACTTGAGTCAAGGAGGATGCTCATCTCTAACCTAGATAGTATACACAAAGTGCCCAGGAAAACTAAGCTTGTAAAGCCTACCTAAAAAGGTGTGGTTTTTCTCTAATCTAGGTTAGGCAAGCACACGAGATTTGGAAAGCACAACTAAGCACAATCACCATGAAAACACCTCTAATACTCAAATTGATGCAACCCATACGAAATCATTCAATCTAAACAAGTAATTACAAAGTACTAGCAGTGGACCCGACCCGTTGGCCAGTGTCGTTATGAACCTGAAGCATAATCTGAAGGTAATGGTTATGCTTAAAGATATTTTTATATTAAAAGATATTATTTCGTGGAAAACGACTATATGAAATAGGTTCTACATATAAACGCTATCAAACATCCATTTTGGATTTCATTAAATCAATGAATAGTTGGTTTAACATAATCATGTAGACATATATAATTATACAAAACTCCAATCCTCCAAATTGAAGTGCAAAGTGACGACACATCATCAGGGTAGTAAGAAGAACAAAACACTAACAATCAAATTATCAAAACAAATGCAGCTAACCTTCTCATGAGCTTTCCTTCATGGCATACAGATCTACATTGAGACTCGACTTAACTTGAGATTGATTTGGCACTGCTAAACCAAACTTGAAAAACAAAAGACAATTCATAAGGGAAAAATTATCCAACATTTGAGAAAAGATTGTAGTCGAAGAACACTATTGTATCTCATAGTTGTAATTGAACAAAAGGAGAAGATCCATAAGGAAAACCTAGAAACGGAGTTCCAATATCAACCTGAAAGAAATTAGAATGCCAAATATCCCATAGATGAAAACAAAATATTGATTAGAAGCTTCACATCATGGCTCTTAACTACACAAAGTTTCCACACAATACTATTCCTCCTCAAGGTCACAGTAGTCAACATGTTTTCTTTTTGGCCCGGAAAATGTTGTTCCTCCAATGTCCACAGGACTTGGAGTCACAATCAGTTGTTGCAATCAAATTACATTAATAATAGAGCTGTAAAGCACGAAAATAATCTTGTATCCTTTAGGTTAAACTGAGATGATGTGCAGCTGAAGTGTTCATCACCTACCTGAAGTGGATCATGATCAATGCTAACCACTTAATACTCAACTTGTGGGTTCAAGAAGTTGAACTGAGTAAGTTTAAAATGAAGTTTGTGTGTCATGTCAACATTTGTTGGATCTGAAAACGGAATGAGTTCTTTCTTCCTCTGATTTAAATGGAATAACACATCAGCCATCACTACGAAAAAAGCGCAAACCTTCAAGCTCTAAATGGAAAATAAGCTTCTTCAGTATCATCCTGCAATTGGAGTTTGACTCTAAACCTATGGTGAAATTGAAACAAAATTCAACAATGTCATAAATATGTATGCATCATCCATAATGTGCAACCAAATCCTACTTTTCTATAAAAATGAAAGAACAAACTATGCAGATTACAAAATGTACAAAGCAAGAATCAGCTTATAAGCTTACTTGGCTTTAGCCATGGAAGAAATCATATTACAGTATCCACAAAAGTACTCTTCCAAATCTCATTCCACCTTGTGAGGGCATACAACACACCCCATGTAGCACCAATTAGGACGTACTTGAATCACTTTCCTTCAACCGTAAACAGTTTTTTTTTAATTTAACACAAAAAAAATTGTTATTAGGTAAATTAGAACTTATTCGAAACAAAATCGCAGTTGTAGAATTCAAGCAAAATCATAAGTATCTGTAGAAAAATTTCATAAAAGTTCTCCACAAAGTGGTTTGATGAATCACTGATGATGTACAACTCATGTAAGCAAACTTCAAACAGCTAAAGATAAGTAAAAGGCAAAGAGTGACATACCGGAGACTAAAACAAAACGCACTTGATACATCCATCGTACCACCAATAGGAACTTTCTTCTCATCCTTGCTAAAGTCGCAATATAGCAATCCACGCCAAGTGAGGCGGGCTTCAACTTGTCAATAACTATCAATAAGAAGTAGACAACTAAAAAAAATGGTAACTTCAAATCAATACAAACAATATTCAATTTCACCTACCACCCTCAAAACACACCCTCTCCATGTCAACTTCAGCTACTATCGGACCTTCAAGTGAGACATAGATTGATTTCCCTTCCTTTCCCTAACAAAAGACAGAAGGGAACACAAATCAAATAAACTATAATTTCCTTACGTATATGACGTCCAATCACAGGACAACAACAAACTAAGAACAAAATGAGTATTTTAAATTGAGTAGTAGCATAGTTAGAATTGAATGGAAGATCTATAGGGCCAGAAAGTGTCATCGTGGAGACACTTCGATAACATTGTTGAAATCAGGGAAACCTCACCGAGAAATTGTCTCTTAATCCCATATAACATGCAACAGTAGGACTAATTTTATGAAGGGAATTGATTGATGCAATATGAAATCGTCGGAAGACTAAGCACAAATGATGTAGAGTTTTACTGGATCACATATGCTTTGAAATAGTACTTACAAAGTGTGATGACTGAAAATATAATTCTAACAAACTTTACAAACCAACTTGTAAATTAACAACTTAAGCTCACATTCACTACAATAAACCTCACCACACCATAGCCACTCTCTCAAGTTCACACTACTCTCACCACACTCAATCTTCTCTAGGACCACCTACCCTCAATTCTCACGTCTCTCTCTTTCTTCCCTCTCTATTCTAACTTTCCTATCACTTCTCTAATCCTTTTGTTTCTCACTCCGCTTACAACACGTCACAAACCCAAGACCCCTTTTTATAACACTAAACCGATACAACGGAAAAAAAATCTAAATAAAGATTTTATTTATTTATTTCTTCCTTCTTCCTTCCTTCTCTAGAAACTTCTTCTTCTATCTCCTCCCTCTTTCAACATTCTGGGTTCTTCCTCTTCCCAACAATTCCAGATTTTTCTTCTCCCATATATCTCACCCAACTTCTAGATTGTATTGACCGAATATGATTTTGATTTCTCAATAAATGATTGGAACCGGTTAATTAGCTAATGGATAGATTTGCCATTGAAAATGCAAAAGAAGAGGGCAAATTGCACAAACGGCGAGGCGGAGAGGAGCCAGGACATTTTTTGTGGGCAAGACAGAGCAGATGGCTACAAACACAACTACGATCCAGGAAGAACGAAGAGGCCTACTATGGGGGATTTCAAATTCAGATGCAGTGTATCAAAAGGAACGTCTGACCTGTTGTCAGCAGAGGCGGCTAAAGGAAGACGGCGAGACAAAGAGGAGTTGGGATTTTTTTCTGGGGGATTGCAAGCCAGACCAAATTTGAAAGCAAATACAACGAAGATTGAGGAAGAACAAAGAGGCCTACTGTGGAGAATTTTTAATTCAGATTCGGTGTGTCAAAGAGGAACGTCGGAGTGGTTGCGAGCTGAACAGAGGCGGCGAGAGAGTATTCATAGAGGTGAGAGAGAAATCGCTTTTTCTGGTTTCTCCAGAAAAAAAAAGAAAAAAAAATCGAAGAATATGGGAAGACAGCTAGCGAGGAAGAGATGGATGGGAAATGTCCATAAAGGCCCTCCGAACTGTACGGCCGTTTCAGCAACGGATGATGTGGCAAAGGTTGTTTTTGACATTGCCTTATAGTATTTTGTAGATTAGTAAGGATCTACAAAACCCAAGATCTTCTTCTTCTTCTTCTTATAGAGAGAGAGAGAGAGAGAGGGAGGGAAAGGGATTACAAATTTGAACTCAAGATCTTCTTCTTCTTCTAGGCTTGAATCCTTGTCTTCAAGATCCACCCGAGCCTCCAATGATGCTCCAAGGTCACTCTAGTACTCTCTTTCTCTCTCTCTTACTAGAACTCTCCTTTGGTGTTTTTGGGCAAACCCTAGAGAGGGAATTGAATTTCTCTCCAAAAACCAACTTTCCTTTCTCTCTCCCTGCTGTTGTCTTCATATTTGCCCGAAAGTGACTAGTTCACGAACGCGTTGGCCAGTTCACGGTCGTGAACACCTAAACGCGCCCGTGAACTCAGTGTCGTCTCCAAAACGCACCGCTCCGCTTCTGTTGTTCACGGTCATTGGCCTCAGTTCACGGTCTTAGCGACCGTGAACTCCATTGGCGTTAGTAACCTCCGAAGCTTCGCTAGACTGCTCGATGTTCACGGTTTGTGGCTCCAGTTCACGGTCTTAGGAGACCGTGAACTCCCTTGATTGACCGTGAACTACGGCTGCTTCCTAGACGCCTGCACTTCACTTTTACGGGCTTCAGACTTTTCTTCGGTTTTTGCTCTTTTTGAACTCCAATTATCCCAAAATTTGACCTCGACCCTTCCACACGTGTTAGGACGTGAAATGTATCAAAACAAGCACAACTTAGGGTGAAATACGTTGAGGAACAATCAAATACTAAGCTAAACGAATAAGAAATCAAAGGGTAAAATGTGTACATTTGGGCCCGAATCATAGTTTGCTGTCGATTAGGAATCATTGGATAAAGAGGGGACGATGGAGTTGGGAATCAAGATTGGGGAGGAAAGAGAGAAGGTTGGGATTCTTTTTCTTCGTCAAGCTTGAACTGGGGTATAAATGGGGATAGAATTGAAAGAAGGGGTACCAATATCTTTTATTTTCTCATTTTGTTAGGCAAAACTTTACTATTTTCTCATTTTACCAATAAATTAATTAAATGATGAAATGAAACTAATAGTGTTTTAAAAAAAATAGGAAACGTTTTCATTTACGTAAATATTAAACTCTAATTTATGGAAGTAAATTGTGATAATATTGCTAATGTTTTATCTAATATTTTGAGGGGGAAAATAAATTATTAATGAAAATAATATAATATTTATTCGCCTTTTTAGTATTGAATTTTTGAGAAATCGATGGTTTGATGCTCTGGCGCTCGCTCTCGCTTTGTAACCACTCAGTTTGAACACCACTAAACGTTTAAATAATAGTGTTCAAAAAAAAGGAAACGTTTTCATTTACGTAAACCAAATGAGCTAACCAAACAAACTAAAAATTTAACTAAACCGAACCAACCAAATTATATGAAATCCTAAAAATTAAAATTGTTACTATTGTAACCACTCCGTTTGAACACCACTAAACGTTTAAATAAATGTTTAGTACACTATAATGCAACCTGGAGATTCCGAAGTTACAGTTATAGCTCCACAATTTAACCTCGTCGGACATCGAGGGTGGATCAAGTGACTAAGGGGGGTGCTAAGTCACTTGAGTAAACCCCTCCCAGCCCTTAGATATGGACACTCCAATATTACAGTCAAAAAGTGAGAAGGGCTTTTTAATTAACGATAGAGATAATTTTGGGTATTATGAAAAATGACGAAGTATACAAACCAGACTTACAAATAGTACAAACCATACAAACAAATACAAACTAGAACAATACAAAACATATAAACAGATTTACAAACAATACAAAACATACGAACTATACAAACCATACAAACTAGACCGACAAACCATACAAAATAAAAAACAACCCGGTTGACTTTTGAGGCTCCATCCCTATACTATATAGAGGGGTTCTGTTCCAAAGTCAACATGGTTGTTTTCTAGATATACAGACATTACAAACATAGTGGACAAAAATGACAAACTAGATCGACAAACCATATAAAATGAAAAAAACACTCGGGCTGACTTTGGAGCCTCCATCTCTATATAGAGGAGTTCCGTCCAAAAGTCAACCACGTTGTTTTTTTATACATAAAAAACATTACAAACATGGTTGACAAAAAATGACAAACATGTTGGTCAAAAATAACAAAGCTTACAAACATTACAAAAGAACCTAACAAGCATTACAAACCACAATAACAATACAAAATATCACTACTTAATATACAAATAAGTAAACTTGTATGACAAATTAATGAATAGAAAGTATATAAATCATTACATAAAGTATACAAACTAGACAACCAAACATTACAAATTACAATATATACAAATTTATATAAATATTACAAACATAATAGATAAAACGGACAAACAATACAAACCAAAAATGATATAAACATGACAAACCAGACTTTTAAACATTACAAAGTAGGTTGACAAACATCACAAAACTAGCACTGGCGCCAGAAAATTCTAATCCGTCGTCTCCGGTCACCGGGAAGCCTCCTCCATCGCCAAAAAACGTTGTCAGAAAATATCTCTCTCACTGTGGCCAAGGAAATATGGGAAAATTCCCAGCCACCTCTCTCTCTGGGACAATATTTCCCTGGTCACAGAAGCAAGGTGGGACGCCAGCAAAAATCCTGCCCGACGAAGGCGCATAGGAATCACTGACCGGCGGGACGGAAGGGAGGCAGGAGGTTTCAATTACATTTTTTTAATAGTTAAATAAATAAAATATAAAATTACCACTCTACCCTATATTAAATTAGATTATTTAATATTTAGAGCCACTAGATTTAAATGATTTTGGATGGCTGACATGCACTTAGTCGCAGGACCAAGGTTAACCACAACTCGGGGTGTTAAATGGCTAAAATGGCCTTTTAGCCCCGTCGGGGTTGTAGCCGACGTCGAGTTTTTTTATGCTGGGCACTAGAGTCGGTCGACGGCCACCTTTCAGCACGTGATGTTAGTGAGTGGGTTGAATGGAAAGGAATATGAACTCGAAAAAAAGATGAGGGAATGGAGTTGAGAATGAATATCTGTGCTAATCATAGCGCAAGTTCACGAGTCTAGGCATGAGGATTTTTGCTTACCTCAATCTGGAGACGAAGTGGCCTTTTATAGAGGCCCCCGAGCGAACATTAAGGGAGTACGTGTCTCCTTCAGGAGCTTAGTAGTGTGGCGGGAGGACACGTTGCGAGGGCACGTGGCTAAAGGTCAAGGTGACCTGGGGTGGGCGGAGAACCCAAGATAGTCAAGGTGATCCGGGGTAGTTGACCACAGGGGTGACCCGAGGTAATTGACCCCAGGTGACTGGAGTGACCCCAGGGTGGGGTAGGTGACCCGAGGTAATTGACACGGGGTGGCCGGAGTGATCCCAAGGCGACCCAGGGTGATTGACCCCGGGTGGCCGGAGTAACCCCAAGGTGACCCAAGGTATTTGACCCCGGGGTGGGCTAGGTGGCCCAAGGTATTTGATCCCGGAGTTGCCTTAGTGACCCCAAGGTGACCCAAGGTATTTGACCATGGGGTGGCCGGAGTGACCCCAAGTTGACCCCTCTGTGATTGACCGCGGGTGGGCGAAGTGACCCCGGGGTGGCTAGGTGAACCAAGGTATTTGACCCCGGGAAGGCCGGAGAGACCGCAAGGTGACCCAGGGTGATTGACCCCGGGTGGCCAGAGTGACAAGTTGGCCCAAAGTATTTGACCCCGGGTGGCCGGAGTGACCCCAAGGTAATCCAAGGTATTTGACCCCAGGGTGGTCGAAGTGACCCCGGGGTGGGCTAGGTGACCCAAGGTATTTGATCACGGGGTGGCCGGAGTGACCACAAGGTGACCCAAGTTATTTGACCCCAGGGTGGTCGGGGTGACCCCAAGGTGACCCAAGGTGATTGACTCCGGGGTGGGCTAGGTGACCCAAGATATTTGACCCCGGGGTGGCCGGAGAGACCCGAAGGCGACCTAGGTGATTGACCCCGGCTGGCCAGAGTGACCCAAGGTGGGATGGGTGACCCAAGTTGATTGACCCCCCCGGGGGGGGGGGGGGGGGGGGGGGAGTGACCCCAAGGTATTTGACCCCGGGTGGCCGAAGTGAACCCTGAGTGGACTAGGTGACCCAAGGTATTTGACCCCACCCCAAGGTGACCCAGGGTGATTGACCCCTGGTGGCTGGAGTGACCTCAAGGTGACACAAGGTATTTGACCCCGGGTTGCCGAAGTGATCCCTGAGTGGACTAGGTGACCCAAGGTATTTGATCCCACCCCAAGGTGACCCAGGGTGATTGACCCCTGGTGACCGAAATGACCCAGGGGTGGGCAAGGTGACCCAAGGTATTTGACACCGGGGTGGCCGGAGTGGCACCAAGGTGACTTAGGATGATTGACCCCAGGTGGCCAGAGTGACCCCAAGGTGGGCTAGGTGACCCAAAGTGATTGACCCCGGGTGGCCCAAGCGACCCCAAGGTGACCCAAGGTATTTGACCCCGGGTGGCCGGAGTGACCCCGGGGTGGGCTAGGTGACCCAAGGTATTTATCCCCGGGGTGGCTGGAGTGACCCCGAGTTGGGTTCGGTGACCCAAGGTATTTGACTCCGGGGTGGCCGGAGTGACCCCAAGTTGACCCAAGGTATTGACCCCATGGCGACCAAAGTGACCCATGGTGATTATCCCCGGGTGGCCGGAGTGACCCCAAGGTGACCCGGAGTGATTGACCCCCAGGGTGGCAGGGTTGACCTCAGGCGATCGTAGTGATCGGTGAGGGCTGCTAATTAGCGGCTATATGGGAGCACTTTCGTCAAAATAATTTTTTTAATTTGGGGTGCAGTGAAAGCACAAACACATGCAACTCTGAAGGCTAAAAATTTATGTTTTGTTTTTAGTAATCCATATGAACATTTCGATAAAATTTGAACAATTTCTTAGATACTTTGTTTTTAATTGAAACAAAAAAGTTACACCGAAATGAAATTTGTTTATCAAAATCTCCAAGATTTTTGAACAATTTCAAAGATACTATTGTTTTTAGTAGAATTTTTTTCTTCAAATAACATTCAAACGGACGAAAATTATACATAAATTAATTCTTCAGCTGAAAAACATAAAAACAAACAAAATATGTTATTTTAATTTAATTAACTAAAACCGAAAACAAAGCACATCATTTTACTTGTTTATGTGGTTGTTTTTGCTAGTGGAGGGACCCGCTCATTTAGCCGCTTTCCTTTTGCTTTTTCCCAACTCAGAGCTATTTTAGCTTTTCAAAACCTATATTTGGCCTTTTACAGATTGTTTGGTATATTCATTTGACAATGAATTCTACACGGTGATTCATTTTACAATGAAATGAATTCTCGATACATTTACCAAATGGTCTGTAAATAAAATAAATTGTAGTGTAGAATTCACTATCAAATGAATTCCAATGTTTGGTATGTCATATATATAAGTAATTTAGTTGATAAAGGAGGATAATTATGACATTCTATTATAATTAGTAAATACTTGTGGAATTCATTTGGAAATTCCATCTCAATTCCTCGGAATTGCTATAACTAGTTCCAATTCCGTAGAATTCAAAATATAGAATTGAAAATGAATTCTTTTAAATACCAAACACAAATTTCATTGTAGTGATGCTTTTTTTGTGGCTTTACGTTTGAATAAAGAGAACTTTGATTATGTGGTGGTTTTTGTGTACCTTAGTTGTGATTATCAAACTCGAACTTCTCAATTTTCCCGCATTCAGGAGTTTTGTTCCAAACTTCGTGTTTCGTTTGTGGTCGCAGGGGATTTTAATTCTATGTTATCATCTAATGAAAAGGAGGGTGGGAGACCTTGGAGACCTTCACAGTCAAGTAATTTTAGGGAATTTGTTGATGATCTAGGATTATTTGATGTGAGCTTTATTGGCGCCCCATTTACTTGGACGAATAGACGATCTAATCCGCAAGCTGTCATTCAGGAAAGATTGGATCGAGTTCTGGCGTCGTCATTGTGGATGCAAAGGTTGCCGGATTCGGTGGTCCACCATTTGTCAGATCGGGAATCAGACCATCGGATAATTTTGCTAGCAACGGAACAACTTCCTCGTACTGGTAAATCAGTTTTCAGATTTGATGTGCGATGGAAAGATAATGAGGAGGTCCGTGGCTTGGTTCACAAAGTTTGGTCGATGGAGGTGGAGGGGTCTCCGATGTACAGGCTCTGGTGCAAGCTCAAAAAGCTTCGCCATGAGCTGTATATTTGGAATAAAGCCGGCAAATCGAACTCAGAACGTAAAATTAGGAGTTTACAGAAGGAACTGGATGAGACCCGTGAAGCTCCAGTGGTGGATTGGGATCGAATTAGGGTGTTGGAGCGGAAATTGAATGAGGCATGGATTGAGGAGGAGATTTACTGGCGTCAAAAGTTGAGGACTCAGTGGCTGAAGGAAGGGGATCAGAATACGCCTTACTTTCACACGGTTACGAAGGCCAGGAGACGCCGTAATTTTATTCATGGGCTGTTTAATGCGGCGGGTGTTTGGGTGACTTCTGAGGAGGAGAAATGCCAGGTGTCTTGTGATTTCTATACTGATTTGTTCACAACATCGGGTGTCTGTGCTCAACAGATTGATGATACAATTGCACAATTGAATTTCCCGCAACGTGTGACTGAGAGGATGAACGAGAGACTAGCGGCCCCGGTGCTACCAGCTGAAGTCCGTCGTAGTGTATTCCAAATTGGGGCAACGCAAGCTCCGGGATCGGATGGATTCACTGGGACTTTCTTTCGTCAATTTTGGGATATCGTGGGGGGAGATGTGATTGCAGCAGTGTGACATATCTTTGAGACGGGTTCGCTTTTGAAAAACTTTAATCATACTTGGCTGACTTTGATTCCAAAGGTAGAGAAGGTGGAGAGAATGAGTCAAATCCGTCCCATTAGTCTATGCCAGTTTGTGTACAAGATCATAGCAAAGATATTAGCGGAACGATTGGCGAGATATTTGCCATCGATTGTTTCTCCAGGGCAGAATGGATTTGTGCATGGGCGACAGATTGTGGACAATGTCATCATTGGGCATGAGGTTATGCATTATTTGCAGAACAAGCGAGTCGGTAAACAAGGGTATATGGCGTTGAAGGTGGATATGGAGAAGGCATATGATAGGGTGGAATGGCCATTTTTGTTCGCATTACTTGAGAAACTTGGTTTCAGTGCGCAATGGATTAAATGGCTTCGAGCTTGTGTGACTTCTCCAACTTTTTCCGTCATGATGAATGGACAGCCGGTGGGATACTTTAGGTCGACTCGGGGTCTTAGACAGGGTGATTCGTTTTCTCCGTTGTTATTTGCCTTATGTACGGAGGGGTTTGCAGCGTTAATCCGACAGGCTTTGGAAAACCGATCGTTAGCTGGTCTGCGCATTAGTCCAAGATGTCCAGTTGTTTCACACTTGTTCTTTGCAGATGACTCGTACCTATTCCTTCGAGCTTCACCTAGGGAGTGTGAGATGCTAGTTTCTCTCCTAAATTGGTATGAGATGCTTAGTGGCCAGAAGGTTAACTTAGCTAAGTCTGCAGTGTGCTTTAGTCGTAATATTCTAGCGCCGGAGGCGGATGTCTTGGGACGAATCCTGGGGGTTGGTGCAGTTGGTGTGACGGATCGGTACCTTGGGCTTCCTTCCTTGGTGAGTCGTTCTAAGATGGAGACGTTTCGGTATTTCGAGGAGCGGGTATTAAGCAGACTTCAGGGATGGAAGCAACGGTGTCTTTCGTGGGCGGCCAAGGAGGTGCTTATTAAAGCTGTGGCCAATGCCTTGCCAGTCTATGGGATGTCGTGCTTCATGTTCCCTGTCTCGCTGTGTCGGTCTATGGATAGACATCTGGCTCGTTTTTGGTGGGGAGTGCAGCATGGGGAAAGGAGGATCCATTGGGTTTCTTGGAAGACTCTATGTATGAGTAAACATGAAGGAGGGATGGGCTTTCGACGTTTTGAGGAATTTAATCAGGCACTGCTAGCGAAATTGGCTTGGCGTCTTTGGAGAGAGCCAAATTCACTGGTGGCACGCTTACTGAAAGGGAAGTACTATCCTAGTACGTCTATTCTTGAGGCCTCTCCTGGCTCTCTCCCTTCTTGGGGATGGCGTGGGATTCTTCATGGGAGAAATTTGTTGCGACAGGGTTTGTGTTGGCAGGTAGGATCGGGCACAATGGTGGATGTTCTTCAGGATAATTGGGTGCCTCGCCTGCATCCATGCCCTCCTCGGGCTCGGCAAGGGATTGTTAGGGTGGATGGGATGGTGGCCTCACTGATTCAGCCTCATCAGGGGGCATGGAGGATGGATTGTCTACGTCAAATATTCGAGGAAGACACGGTTCGGGCAATTGCGGCTATTCCCCTGCCTATTGATCCTGTTCTTGATCGCTTGGTTTGGATTGGGGGAGGCTTCTTGTGTGTATTCCGTTAAGCCAGGGTACCACTTAGCTTCTCAATTGAGGCGAGAGAAGGAATTGGTGAATAAGCAAGGGGTGGTTCCTTGGGACCGTGGATTATGGAAGAGGGTCTGGTCCGCATCCTTGCCTCCGAAATTGAAGTATTTCATATGGCAACTGGTGCGTCGGGTTTTGCCGACAGGGGAGGCACTCAGCGTGAGAGGGGTGGATGGTGTGCGCGATTGTCCGGTGTGCGGGGAGGAGGAGGAGTCTCTTGAACACCTCTTCTTCAGCTGCAGGGTGGCTCAGGGGGTCTGGGGAGGGACTGGTCTTGATGAGGTTCGTGAGAGTTTTCCCCAGGATCACATGGCAACTTTCTGGAGACGGTTCGTCGAGCAGGATGATTTGGATGGTCAGATTTTAATGCGGGTTGTGGCCCTGTTTTGGCGGACTTGGAAGGCGCGGAATTGGGTGGTGTTTGACTTTACTTTATACACCATCCCTGTTTTGCTTTCTCAATTTCGGTTGCAGGTGGTGGAATGGGAGTTGGCGAATGAGGCACAGCAGGGCATGGATGGTGGTGGTGGTATGACCGGGCATTCCGGGGGTCTTAATCAGGGTCTCAGCCCGGGCCGTTCGATGGTTCGGGTTGATGGGGCTGTGATATGCGGGTCTCATGGTGCTGGGGGTTGGGTGTTACAGGATCCGTTGGGAAGAGTGGTGACTGCGGAGGCGAGGCTGTACGAGTTCATTGAGGATCCTTTCCTTGTGGAGCTGTTGGCTTTCAAGGATGCGATGAGATGGTGTCTTGCACGGGGTTTGACAACAATTCTTTTTGCGGGGGATGCTAAGGTTGTCATTGACAAGATTTTGGCAGGATCGACCGAAGATACCCGTGGAGGGACGATTCTTGAGGAGATAATGGTGCTTCGTCAGTCCTTTGTGCATTTCTCTGTCCAGTTTGTTGGTAGGCGTTGTAATAGGGTTGCCCATTTGGTGGCACGAAAAGCCCTTTCATTGTTCCCTTCTTTAGGTGCGTTCGATTTAGTTACGTGGCTGTTTTCTGTCATTTGAACTCCTTTGTATCTGGCTGTTTTCTCGGTAATACGAGCGATCGTTTGATAAAAAAAAAAGTTTGGATTTAGCCATGGGTTGAAGTAAAAATTGGGGACTAAAATACCATTTTGGCCGTAGGTTGTGGACGGACCCTTACTCACCTGATCTATCATCTAAGCCGTCGGACTAAAATCCTAAAACCCTAACCGGAAATCGCTTGCTTATTCCACGAACACAGAAGGGTTTTCGTTTTTTGGCGGTGCATCTGACAGCCGCGGGATACCGGTTTCAAAGCCCTAATCTTCATTCATCCCAACCGCCATCGTCAATCAGGTCCAATTTAAGTTCTTGCTGCTCTTTCTGCTTCTGCAAATAGAAGCCGTATCGGGCTAAGGTTTCTCAGCGGCAGCGTCTTTGTTGTTTCAGGTTCTAATGGCTGCCAACAATAGCCCTCTCCCCGCTGGTGTGACCAAAGAACAGGTAACCACCGCTTCTGGCTCGTCGTCACTCGAGTTCGTCTGTAGTACGCCTTATTCTGGCTGATATTGATTGTTACGCTCAAGCTATTGCATCTCGTTTGTATCTTCAAATTGTACAACTTTTGCTATCTCGATGAAAGAATCATTACTCGTAGGTTATGATATAGCTCGTAGATTGGGTTTATGCTGTGTTCGATTAATTTGAGTGTTCGATGGAAAATTGTGTGTTAGGCCTTTGGCATGGCGGAGACTGAGATGGAATACAGAGTGGAGTTGTTCAACAGGTAAGCTTCTGGACAAGTCCTTTCCTATCTGATGTATTGAGCGTCTGCATCTCTCTTGGTAATGTAGTCATCTAGGTCTTTGATCCAACTTTGTAGGCTTAGATTGGGTATGTTTTGGGTTCATGTTTCCTTTCATTTGAACAATCCCTTTATTTAACTGTCATGATCTTCTTGTCGGTCTCTGTGATTTTGTATGTTTAGGGTTTGAGAACTGTTTGTGACCTCCTTGTTCACTGTATTGAGAAAGATTTTTAATTGTCCTTGCATTGTATGTCGTTGCTTTTTTCAATGGCCTTGCATACTTGAGCTGTCTGTCACCATGGAAATATTGGACATTGTCTTTGTGTTAGCGAGTAGTCTTGAAGGCTTGAAATGTCTGAAGGCTTCAGTATGCTGTTTGATTTTTCTTGTTTCAGGCTTTCACAGACATGCTTCAGCAAGTGTGTTGACAAAAGGCAAGTTTTGAATTTTCTCGTTCTTCCTCTGGTTTACATCTCTATTTTTATGGCAGTCGGTCATCTATCTGGCTTGGCTTTAAAAAAGGAGGTGCTTCCCTGTGTTTCAGGTACAAGGAGTCTGAGCTGAACATGGGCGAGAATAGCTGCATCGATCGCTGCGTTTCAAAGTATTGGCTGGTAAGCTTCTATCTTTGTCTCAGGAGTTCTCTCATGAACTTGTTGGCATTTTCCGACAACATAATGTCATCCAAGTCCCTACTTAGTTTATAGACATTTGCATTCCAGTTTTACACACTGTAAGTTCTTGGCTACTCTTGCAGGTGAACGGTCTAGTAGGTCAGATGCTAAGTGCTGGTGGTCAGCGTCCCATGTGAAATGCAGAGCTTAGCTTGATTTCTCTGCGTCTTGGAATGTTGCAAGGGTAATTTTGAGTGTGTTCACTATGAGAACTAATGTTACCATGCCAAAGAATTCTGTGCTAATTTCTGCTTATAGTAGATAATATCCATTTTTCGTGTTACCGGCATGGTGCAGGTTGTTGTTATCACTTATCAGATATTCTCTGCTCAGGGAAATTGTCAATAAGGTTCAGATATAGTTTATAAAGGATACTCAATCTTTTCAGACGGCAGTTACTCGGACTTTTCACAAAAATTTATTCTTATTTTTCCAAATTATCTTTCATTTTCCTGAAAATTATTTTCAATAATTTATTGTTTGACTGTAGCATATTTTTTTATAAATATTTGGGCTATAATGCTATATGCTTCAAGTGGATTCATGATAACGATGCAACTGGCCCAACTCAAATTTTATCAACATTGATTATTAGTGTTCGTATAATGTGTTTAACTTCATCGTGTAAACCAAATCTTAAGATGAAAAATTCACATGTCACCATCTAATTAGCCTGTGATTTACACTACTAATCTAGCTAGCTCACAAGCTATATATATTCGTTGGATTTGAACTCGCATTGTTGAAGAAGCATGAAACGGAGTTGGTGGCAAGGAGCAACGTTTAAATTAAGTTCGTCAAAACTAGGTCATTTTTTTGTTTATTCCAGTTTGGTCCCTAAAGTGGTTATTCATGTTAGTTGAGTATGTTTGAAAGCTGTTCATAGTGTTGCGGATTTGGGAGAAGTTAGGGTGCTAACTTCACCATACGAACAACTATAATTACTATTTATTGTTTAAGTCACATCTAACAGTGTTTGATAATGAAAGACTTATTTGGTATTGGTTTAATACACTAGCATAGCCATAACTTTCGCGATTTTGACAACATTAGTCAATTTTTGAAAAATACACTAAAATAGTCAGTTTTCGTCTAATAATTTAACGGAAAAGTCACAAATGCTGAGTAGACAAATGTTTGTTGCTGATGTGACAGTATTATCCACAAACTTACATATCTGGATTTTTTTAAAATTCATTTTCATTAAGTTAAATAAAAATTAATAAAAGGAAAAATCATCTCCCCATCCTCACACCTAGGAATGGCAATGGGTCGGATTGGGTCGGGTTTTGTCAAACCCAAACCCAAACCCATGGGTTTATCCGCCAAAAAAACCCGGGGTAAAACCCGTTGGGTTTGAAAAACTCAAACCCAACCCAACCCGCTGGATATCCGCGGGTTCATGGGTACCCGTGGGTTTTTGTGGTAAAAATTTACAATAACAAGTTTCTTTCAAAATAAAAGTTTAACGTCAATTTTCTCATACAAATTAAACATACAAAAAACACCAATCTAGAGCATACAAGCAAAGCGCAAATGATCAATACAAATTATTCAAAATTAAAGATAAACATATATAAACAATAAGATTAATTGAAAGCTTCTTCCTCGTCAACTAAGTTTCTTCACTCTCCACTTCATAATACCAACTTCATTCTAAACAATTAGAAAGAACAAATTATACATGTCTCCACAAACATATAAAATATTAGTTGTTTAAGAAAGATATATTATTTAGAATATTAAATATACCGGGAAAGTAATTATATGTGTGTGGGCGGGTACCCATGGGGCGGGTTTACCTAAACCCAAACCCAACCCGACCCGGTGAATAGTGTAGCGGGTTTAAACCCGAACCCGGCCCAAAACCCGTCAACACGGGTTTTACCCGCGTTGACCGGGTTGGGTCGGGTGGGTACCCATGGGTTCGGGTTTTGTTGCCATCCCTACTCACACCCCACCCTTTCATCTTCCTCAAACTCTCCACATAACCTTCCATCGTCGAAACACATAATACACTGCAGCGCCACTGCCGGTCACCTCGTGGACCTTGAACAACATCGATGTTGTCTGCACCTCCAACAGTTACCCTTGCCATTGAGTGCCAAGCTGCTACACGAAAATCGATATACACCGACGAATCCGGAGTTACTCTTTGTGCAATCTCCACTACGAATATGGAGATTTGGGTTTGAGGGTCTTCTTGGTAGAGTGAAAGAGAAAACAAGGGTTCTGGGTTGTGGGAGATTTGTTTTCGCGGGTTGTGGCTTTGGTCTTGATATTGCTGTCGTCGGTGAGACTATAGTGAAGCAGGTCCCCAAACTTCCAAAATCACTAGATCTAGGAAACCCCTCTTTTACCTCCTGTCTCTGTCTCTCAATCGATGATTCTGGCGAAACGTTCGTCGACGATGACCAAAAGGGACATGGAAGAAGAAGCTTCGATCTACCCAATTACTCAAACCTGGAGTTAGAGCCGGCATATCTAAAATCATCGTCAAAAGCATGGACAAAACATAACCCATAGCCTCTGTCGGCGTCGTATTTAGTAATGTGGGATTAGGGGTTTGGGTTTTATAGTGGGGAGGATTCGGGATCGGGGTTTCGATGGGGGGATTGAGTTTTCCGGTGGGTGATTGATTGTGCGGCGGCAGTGGTGTAGCAAGGCAGCCAAATCTTCCACCGCACTCAGAAAAGCTGACCTGGACCATTTCTGATTCTATTCTCGACGAATTCAATAGAGAATGGAGGAATCTGGATATCGATTAAGGTAAGAGAAAGAAGAAGGAAGAAAGAATAAAGAGGAAGGAAAGCTGGACACAAAAGCAAGAAGAAGAAGAAAAGAAAGAGTAAAGTTGTAGGAGATGATTTATTATTTTTCTGTTATTAATTTATTTTTATTTTAATTTAAAATATGGTGTGGCAGGCAAGTGGCATGATTTGGTGTGTTGGAGCTGATGTGGCAATTGAGGTGGCATTCACATCAGGGGATTTTTCTAGAAATACCACTATTTAAAAAAATATTACAAAAATACCACCCAATGCAAAAAATTCCACTTATACCACCTTTTTCTAAGAACCGCCTCCAGGGGAGGCGTTTTCACTGGAAACAACTCCGGGAAGAAGCAGTTTTAGTTTGGGCAACAAACCGCCCTCCCCAGGAGCGGTTTGAAGGCTGCCCTAGGTCAACATGATAGAAACCGCTCCCCCAATGTGCGGTCTGTGAAAACAGTTTCATGAAGGAGCGGTTTGAATGTCGACACCAAAACCGCCCTGGGGGGAGCGGTTTTCATGTGTTTTCCCCACTTTCCCGACAGGAAAACAGTCGGCATGCAGGGGACTACTGGAGTGGGGAGTGTGTTTTGTGAAAACTGCTTGGGGAGGGGGCGGTTTTCATGAAATTTTTTGCTATAAAATGCAGTCCCGAAAAACACAGCATTGCACCCCTCTTCCATCTTCCTATTCTTCTTTAAGTTTTTGTTTTAGCGAATTTGTGTTTTATATTATAGCGATTAACGTTACGTTGTAAGTTTGTTTTGTATTACTTGTTACTGTAAGTTTTCTTTGCGATTAACGATTAACATTGACAAATTTTATGGTATTAATTAAGTTACCGTTTTATTGCAGATGACATTCCAAAAGTTCATGCTTGGGTTACGGTGGAATGGTTATACGGAAGATACCGGAAAGGGAGTACCTTACGTCGATGGAAATTTTCAAAAAGTGAAGGTTGCTACGAGACTGAGCCTTGAAGATCTGCATCGAATTTGTACTGAGGTTACTTGTATAGGTGGCACGAGGAGAGTTGACCATATGGTGTATCGATATCCAAACAGAAAATCCGTGGCGTTGTGGTATGAGGAATTCGGCATAACTACTCAGGCGGATGTAGATTCCATGGTTAATTTTTGATCACCAATAACATTTCCAAAGCAGAGATGTTCGTTTACACCGAGCCGGTCCCAGGCGCTGGAGGTCATTATGGAGAAGGCAAAACATCTGGTATCCACGGTGGAGGGGGTTTATATGAAGATCATCCGTACCAAATCGACCATGATCGTCATTCCTACAATGAGTATCAACAAGGAGAATGCCAAGGATACACTGACAACCAAGAAGATGGCTACCAGTATCAACCCGAGTATGACTTCTATGTAGGCAGTGGTAGTTATCACAACTACCATTACGGAGATGATGTTGGTGCCTTTCATGATCTTGATGGGATGGAGGATGTCCTCCCAAGGCCAATCAGTGATCCTGAGGATGAAGAAGAGGAAGGTGATGTGAGTGCAGACAACTACGACCCTCTTGAAGGTGCCGATGATTCAGGCCCTGAATCAGACTCAGCTGATGATGAGGTGGCTCGTGACCGGGTACCTATCTCATACTACAACCACATTCCAAATGAAGATTGGTATGTTGATGCCGACATGGAGCCGCCAAAGGTGCCAATATGGGGTCCACTCACTGGGTTTACGAAGGGCCAATAATTTGGTACAAAGAAGGAGGTGCGACACGCTATTGACACTAAAGCAATGACTCGGAGTTTTGAATGGCGCACAACTCATTCCGACATGAAGAGACTCATAGTTAGGTGCCTAAATCAACACGAGGGGTGCATGGCTAGGGTCCGGGCCATCAAGAGCAAAAGAGTCGGACATTGGGTCATATCCCGTGCGATGAACACACACACATGTGTGTCATCCATAACATCCCAAGGCCATCGACAGTTGAAATCCAGGGTGGTTGCTGCGGCTATCAAGCATCTACTTGAGCAGCAGCCCGACCTGAAGATTAAAGCCATCATCGCCGACATTTCTAGTCGTTATGGTTATATTATTAACTACAAGAAGGCATGGCATGGGAAGCAGAAAGCAATTGCTGCCGTGTTTGGCGACTGGGAAGAATCTTATGCATTCCTTCCAAGATTGATTTTGGCATTGGAGGCCTCTAATCTGGTACTTCAAGCCATGTATTGATGGTTTTCCCTATTGTGTGCCTGTAATACAAGTGGACGGCACATTCCTTACTGGCAAGTACAAGGGCACTCTCCTTATTGCCAGTGGAGTGGATGGAAACACATTAGTCTTCCCTTTAGCCTTCGCCATTGTTGAGGGACAGAATGCCGATAACTATGGATGGTTTTTTCGACAAATCCATCTCCATGTCACCAGGAGAACGAACCTGACGATCATCTAGGATTGCCATGCCGGGATCAAAGCTGCCATTTTAGGATTGGATCCAGCCTGGAAGTGGTCTGAGAGGTGGTGCATACGACATTTCAAGAGCAATTGGAACCATCATTTCAAGCGAAAGAAACTTGCTGACCAGCCAATTAATTTTGATAAAATTATATTTACAATACAATATAACACTTACTAAGACTCTTCATAAAGAGATGCATGCCTAAGGAAATGGGGTCTTAAGCGATCATCATGGTCCTCCCATTTCCTGGGAAAATCGGGTTCTAAGAGATCCTCGGATCCCCCCTTTTTCTGTCAAAAAAGGTTGTGTTTCTAAGGAGACGTAGACCTCTCCTAAGAGTACACCGAGTGTTGTATTGTTTTACATGTTACCTAACCCTTTCTTCTGTTTATGCATCAGCTGTAGCCTACCAAGAGAAGAAATTCTTGGAAAAGATGCAGAAAATCCGTGAGCTTTGCCCGAAAGGTGCGCAGTGGTTGGATCAACATGACCTAACCATGTGGACTTTTCACAAGGACGGAGGTACCAGGTGGGGTATTGCAACCACGAACTCTAGTGAGTATCAACTCCGCCTTCAAGGCTGTTCGTGCATTACCAATCTCTGCAATTGCGGAGATGACATACTGGAGAGCGAACCATTGGTTCGTCAATTGCCTCCGCTGGGCACAGGGTAAGGTCCATTCCGTTAAAGCCATGGAGATCATGGAAAGGGACAACCGTAAGAGCAGTCGTCATAGTGTCACTGTTATGAATCGAGATGTTGGTGAGTATTCAGTCGAGACCGGACACTGGTAGGATGGTAGACGTGGGGGGCATCGACATGAAGTAAAGGTCAACTTCATAACAAAACAAGAAGAGTGCTCTTGCCAGAAATATCAGGGAAGAGGTATGCCTTGTTCTCATGCAATGGCCGTGATTAAACACAGGAGCAAAGACCCCCTTTAGGATCTGAAACCGGAGCAATCCATGGAAGATGCTCCCAAGCCCAAAATTGGACGATGAACTTCGCCCAATCAATCTCCTTTACCGCTTTCGAAGTTGCATTACAAAGGGAGCGGTAGATATGAGCTAGGCATGCGGATGCCCAACTTAGGTTCCTCATATCCTCCCATGGACCAAGTAGGATCTTCAATCAACCATTGCTGATTAAGTTGTTGGATTTCTTGTGGAAGAACACCCCTCCGATCATGCCGATGAGGTAAACACGTGCATAGATCTCCTTATCCACCTCATCACTTTCCTCCGTGAGGAGAAAGCCATCTTGCGCAGGATCGTGCTTCTTCTTGATCTTGTTTGTCAACCAAGTGATGGATACTTGGCGAGTCCTCATTGGTGCCCGTCCATCTTGCTCGTCATCTCTTTCTCCCTTTGCAGGCACGAACAAACCCAAGGTGGTCCATATCAAATACTGCCACCCGTTCATCTCGTCAACATCTGTGGGTGGTGGGTGATCGTCCACACACACGACATCGCCGTTAATGGGAAAATTGGTTAGGATGGCGATGTCCTTCAGTGTGATGGTGCACTCGCCTTTGGAGAAGTTGAAGCAATGTGTCTTCGATCGCCATCTCTCCACCAACGCTGTGATGAGCTGGCGGTCGATCTTGATTCCTACGAAATGTCTAATCGAATCCAACCTTGCCCTTTGAAGATAGGGCAAGATGACGTCGTTCCATGGGAGCACAACGCTGGAATTCCTAGAGCGGACTATATGGTGCGCCTCCTAGCGAATAAATTAACTTTCGCTATAAGTTTATGATTTATAAATAACTATAAATCTATTTTAACAAACACCATAGAATTAACAAAATCAAGGTTTTTCACAATGTATAAATAATTTACTAAAAAAACATATTTAAGTTAACTAAAATAATTAACTAAAATAAATGAATAGCATTTTGAAACATTTAATAGAATTAATTTTGTACACAAAATTATACTCGATTATATTATTTTTTTAAATCGCATTGGTTGTTTTCAATAATTTAAAGGATACAAGTACACTCGTTGGACTCTTAGAAGAAGTATACATCTCCTTAGAAACACAGCTTTTTGTCAGAAAAAGGGGGGATACGAGGATCTCTTAGAACCCGCTTTTCCCAGGAAATGGGAGGACCATGATGATCGCTTAAGACCCCATTTCCTTAGGCATGCATCTCTTTATGAAGAGTCTAAATAAGTGGCACTTTGTATTGCTTTAAATTATTGAAAACACCAATGCGATTAACAATTAACAAATTTATTTACAAACCACTAACTTACGTTAACAAAATAAAAGAGATATAGACATGAGAAATTATAAGTATCTCATGATTGTTCCAAACATCCCTTGAACGATGATTTTCTTGGTCGTATAACACGGTTGGATCAATCGATCCTTGATCGACATAATATCTTTGGTCGCAGATATCAACGTCCGGCCCAACCTACGATAGCATAACAACAATATAAATTAATTAGTATATAGATTAAATAAATCATTATAACAACAACAAAAACAAGAGCAAAATGAGTACGTACCGCTTGATAGTCATCCACAAAGACCCCCTCCTCCTCGATAAAACCGACCATATTTTCAGGAACCGGACAGAGATTCGACGGGGTTTGAAGGAAAAAACTCGAAAATGTTTTCTGATTGCAGTTCGGACTTAGCCGCAACCAACAGACCACTATTTCCTAGTTTTTTTGGTGGGGAGGGGAATGTTAGAGAGAACTAATCTTAGAGAGAAAGAGGAGAATGAGTTTTGGTGTGAAAAAATGAGGAGGGGGAGGGGGTATTTATAGTTTCAGAACCGTGGGGTGGGAGGGAGGTTTTGTAATTTTGCAACCCAAAAACCGTGTCCCCCACCCACGGTTTTGGTTGTGCATCTTGAAAACCGTCGCTGGAGGCGGCGATTCCTTCACCAAGACACGGACCGCTGAGTTGGCAACCGATCTGCCGTCGGATCGCCTCCTAATCTGACGGTCGATAAAACCACCTCCTCCCAAGGCGGTTCTGCTAGGGTTTAGCACAAACCGCCTCCTTGAATCACGGTTTTCGTATAAACCATCTCCCAAGGCAGCGGTATTTAGAAAATAGTGGTAGAAGTGGAATTTTTTTTCATTAAGTGGTGTTTTTGTAATTTTTTTTAATAGTGGTATTTTTGAATTTTTCCCTTCACACCAGCGTCTTGTTAACTGTGTTAAAATTTTTGACGAAAATGGCTAATTTTGTCAAACGACTTTCTAAAATGTGGCTACAATTGTGTATTTTTCAAAAAGTGGCTATTATTGTCAAAAACGTGAATAGTTATGACAATGCGAGTGAATTAACCCATTTGGTATTTGAAGGAGTCAGAGTAAACAAGAGACGTAATCTCCCCTACCTGTTGTCGTCTGGCTTTCCTTCGCTGGCCATTGTCGCGCTCCTTGCATTGCCTTATGCAACCGCCGCCATTCCCTTGTCACTGGGCTCAAGATAGGATGCATAACCCATGATTATGCACCCATCAATAACTAAATCTCGACCCTTCATTTAGAAAATTCAGATCGAAGGATGGAGAATTAAAGACCATTTTTATTTTCCCTAGCTATCTTAATCGACTCATATCTTCTTCGTTTTAACTCGGATTTTTTTTTTTTGCACAGATGGAACGTGTTCGTTGTGCTCTACAAAATGAGATACATTTTCAATATTTTTTGAGAAAAAAATTTCTTGTCTCTCGGTACCAACTGCATACCATATGGTATCTTCTTCGTTTTTAATTCGTTTTTGAAAACGTTGCACAGAAGGAACGAGTTCATCATGATCTATTGGATCTACAAATTTCCGGGTGAACAAATTATGGGACCAAAAAATACCACACAATACCATACAATACCACCCTGGTACGAGGTGGTATCTTGTGGTACACAATGTCAAAAGTCGTAAATGATAGTTAATATACTTCTACTATTATGTATTCAATCATCCTACAGTCTTGCTAACGGTGTTAAAAATATTGACGAAAATGGCTAATTTTGTCAAACGAGTTTCCAAAATGTGGCTACAATTGTGTATTTTTCAAAAAGTAGCTATTTTTGTCAGTGATTAACCCTTCGGTATTTGAAGGAGTCAGAAACATGAATAGTTATGGCTATATGAGTGAATTAAACCTTTGGTATTATTGTCAAAACGTGAATAGTTATGACCATGCGAGTGAATTAATCTTCCTTACCTTTTTTTCGTCTGGCTTTCCTTCGCTGGCCACTGTCGCGCTCCTTGCATTGCCTTATGCAACCGCCGCCATTCCCTTGCTACTATGAGCCCAATGGGCAAGTGGGTTGTGTTTCTATTAGTCTTAATAGAGTTAACATTATTTTGGTGACTTGACACATGTATGTGGCAAAATAAATAATTTTTAATTCTACCATATTACCCTTATGGATTGAAAAATGTACGGAGCTACTAAAAATGGCTATTAGTGGCATTCGATGTATAATTTCGACTTAAGTGGTATAACTCACCCAATTATCAAAGTTTAATGGTATACCAGCCATTTTACCCTCTGTTTTCTTTTGTAAACATCGTTAGCAATTCTATCTAAACCCAAAATTGTAAAACTGTAATGGAGGACGAAAGTTGTATAGGGAAAATTTAGCGATACGATATTCTATAATAAAGATTGCATGCCTGGCCCACAAAAGTAAGATCACAAGTGATCCGAAGTAACAGAACAAACAATATGTGGGGGTAAACTGAGAAATCTGGAACAGAAGTAAACTCATGCCAGCCAGGCATGCCAACGCGCACAAACAAATGAACAGACAATTAGAAGTTTAGAACGACCTTATCATATCTATCAGCTTATCCAGATCCTTGAACGAGGAGCCACCTCTCCTGGTCCCAATCTCCACTCTGCCCTTCAACTCCACTGCTCTTTCCCTCATCTCTAACCCTTCTTCCTCCACCATCAACCTTCTCACAGCGGCCGCCACCGCGTCCCTCTCCAGTTCCTCCTCAAGCTGCATGCCTACCCTCCATACATGGGTCACATACCTTGCAGTCACCTTCTGGTCGGCGAAGTTGGGCCTGCAAATCAAGGGCACCCCTTCAGCAATACTCTCCACGGCAGAGTTCCATCCGCAATGGCTCCAAAACCCTGCTACCGCCTTGTGTGCCAGCACTTCCTCTTGTGGCGCCCATTCCACGATCCGCCCTCTTTCCCCGACGCCTTCTCTGAAGCCGTTAGGCAGCGACTGTTGAACATTCCGAGTCCCACGCACCAGGCCGGGCCTGACAACCCACAGGAAGGGCAGGTTGCACTTAGCTAGGCCCCATGCCATCTCGGCTAACTCGTGCTCGCTAATGCAGGCCACGCTCCCCAAGCTCACGTAGATCACCGAGTTCTCTGCCTGCTTGTCCAGCCATGGGATGCAGCTGTAGTCCTCCTTTAGCAAGCTTGTGGAGAGCTGTGGAGCGGATTTGTGCATCGGTCCCACCGTGAAGATTGGAACTCGGCATTGCTGCTTCACCTGCACCAGTAGCGGATTCTCCAGACACTCCACCGTGTTCCAGATGACAGCCGAACTCGAACCCACGAGCCGGACATTTTTAACCACTTCAACGAAGTTGCTCAGTGACTTGAAAATGGTTGTGGGCAGATCTTTGTATCTGAGTGGGTAATGCTCCGGCACTGGCTTCTCCATTATTGAACCTGCAGTTTTTGGTGGTAGGAATAATAAGGATATATGTGAAAACTAAAAAGCTTAGTCATTCCAAGAAAATTAACTAATATGGATTTCATACCAAGAAGCTAGAATTTACCCTGCAGAGGGATTTGGCCTTCGTCAATCAGTCGCAGAACAAAATCACGAGCGAGGAAGGTGGAGACGGTATTGGTTCGCAACATGATGCTTGGGATGCTCAGAGAGTTGGCCACAGATTCAGCACGGTACATGTATTCATCATAAATTATGCAGCTTACCTTACCATTTGGCTTCTCAGATTGCATCATTTGAGCCACACGATCCTTCAAGGGCTTGTGGCAGTTGGCGTTGACTGCTAACAAGATAACCGGTATATTACCAGAAGAAATCAGGTGGTCAGGTAAGCCGTCTGGTATGGCTATGAAGTTGAAATCAGGGTGGTTCCTGGGACAAGGAGCGTTGAACTGGGTGTGAATTATTGAGATGGAAAATCCCCTGGAATGAAGTATGGTGCCAAGCTGAAGCATCGGGTTGATGTGGCCTTGGTAAGGACATGGAACTAACACCAGATGGCGTGGCAGAATGACTCCTTCGCTCCCCATCTCGATCTTTCTCTGTTACTTTGCACACTACTTCTGTCTGTAAACAACTGAAAAACCAAATGAACATATGATACAGTAGCTAGCTGTGTGTAGTTTTAAATGGGAAATCATAAACATCACCTTTTCAAGTGAGGGGGACGTGGATGTAAAATATTGGCATGGAGAACGTGGAAGGTAAGGTTGACATTTATACAGCTTCTCTCCAGCTTTCAATTCTCGGGGAGGCAGGGCAACAGAGATGCACCTTGATGTCATCTTATTGGCACGAGGAAAATAGTAGAGATCCAGCTGACATGACATGTAAACTGGAATTTTAACAACAAGAAGTAAATGCCAAGTTGCAGCTGCTTACCATAAAAGTGGTATGGGAACAATATATGATGTGTCACACTCAACTTCATACAGTGTCGGTATGCACATGTCCCGCCCTCAGATATGGCATCCAACATCATTTAAGCACGTGTGTTTATTTTGGTCACAGATTTGCTGAGCTGATATTATTGACACGCAACTGAACTATTCAGTATGACCCGGGGAGATGCAGAGATATGAGATTCAGGACAATGCCCAGAACCTTCATACCTAAAATGACAAGTGAGCATCAACATAACAAGAAGAGTAAATCGCTTATCTGATGCACCAGAAGTGATCAAATTGCTTTGACACTGAATACGTCCATAGACGTGTCAGCTTTTCCATGTAGTTGAATGCAGAACCACCTACTACTATGGTGCAAGTTTCCACTTTTTTCCTTTAGTACTAATGCTCTTCTCCTTCTCTCTTTCCCTTCTCTAATTTTCTCAAAATTCCAGCAACCACAACTCTTCCCAACTTCTCCTCCAGCCTGTTTCCCTTTAGTACGAATGGCTCAGTGAGTTGGTGACGGCCCGGAGGCAAGACAATTTGCAACGTAACAGTCGTGGCTCGCTAAAATGGTACTTGGAAGGCTCCAGGAGTTGGCCACAGCTTCAGAGCAGTACATAAGTGATTGAGGCTATCTTGCAATGTGATTTCTCAAATCGTATCATGAACCATGCAAATCCTACCCAAGATAGCCCGTATGTTCCCAGAATGAAATGAGGTCATCAGATAGGCCATCTGGTATAGATATGAACCCTGCAAAAAAAAAAAAAAAAAAAAAAAAACAAGCTGAACATCAATGTCCTTAGTCCCCATGTGAAGAAAATACATCAGAACTTAGTATTGATTAATGAGACACACAGCTATGTCACAGCTTGCGCTTCCATACAAATAACACAAACGTACCCCTTATACCTACAACTCGGATGACTAGAAAGTCAAGTGAAGAACTGGAATGAAATACAAGCAGATGCAGGGGAAACCAGGTGTAATCACTACTTGATAGATAACTGTACATAAGCTTAGTTCAGAGGTTACATGCTGCAAGAAGCCTCACATTTGCCATGCAAGAGGATACATTGCATTATGCATACTTAACAACACTCAAACTCGCACACCGTCACATTTTCGGCAATGAAACTGCCGACTAAAATCATACGCTCTTAACTGCTCGTGAGTTCGAAAAAGAGAAGGGAGGCGTTTCTCACCTTCTAAGCCAGAGAACACTCTTGATCTGGATGGCCATAAGGTTAGGTTGCTGGAAGTTGTTCGGCAGCCTAACCCTACTTATGGCACGAAATTTGCGGTGCTACGCTCGATAAGGTGCCAGATAGCATTGCCATCCTCCGTCTCGGCGTTTCTCTGACTGATAATCTGCAGCACACTTTCGACATTTCCTCCGGAGTCTCCTTTCTGCACAAGCAGTCACCGGCGAATGCCAAGAATTTTGGGCAGAGAACTCCACGACATGATTAGAGAACGAAGAGAATCAGACGCGAAGCTCCCTGAAGGGGTCGCGACTCGCGAGTAGCGATGGTGGGAAGGGAGGACATAAAAAAAATTGAATTGCTATTCGTCGCCCTAAAATTTAATTGGCCAAATTCACTTGTATAGCCAAAATTTTGACGTTTGTGACAAATATAGCCACTTTTGGAGAAATACCATAAATAGCCAGAATTTTGAAAGTTTGATGACAAATATAGCCATTTCCGTTACATAGTTTGACTGCGTCAATAACACCGTTAGTCAAATTAACCAAAGGCTTACCTGGCTGCCACCTCACCGGACACATCATTGACAACTTAACAATACTTGCCATGTCATATAACAATACTTGCCATGTCATTTTTTAATTTAAAAATAAATAAAAAGTGACAAAAAAAATTTCATCCTCTCTCCTCTCCCACCACTCGCCGTCGAAGAACTCTTTCCTCTCCCTCTCCTTCCACCACCGACCCCAACCCCAAACCCATATCCTCCCTCCCACTCCGACAGCGTTCCAGATCCAACCCACCACCGACCTCGCCGACACACTGCGACAGCATACTAACCCTACGATCTCTTTCTGGCTCATAGCATCCGACGGAAATCTCTGTCTCTGTTTTGTTCTCACCAGAGACAAAGAAGGCGAACTCGACGCCGGTGGCGAGCAGCACTCCGGCTCCAAAACACAATCCCATGCCGCAACTCCTCCCGTCGTCATCTCCCTGCAAAAACCCAGCAGAAAGAAAAGCAAGAATCCAACACCCGCTATCCAAAAGCAGGGATTTCCCCCTAACCCTATCGTTCTCGAACCCAGAATCGATTGTTCAAAAACCCATAATCGATTTCCCCCTAACCCTATCATTCAAAAACCCAGAATCGATTGTTCTCTTCTAGCTCAAATCGGCGGTTCTGGAGGGAGAGATCGTGCGACGGAAGATGACGGTCAGATCCATCCCTTATTCTTCTTCTTCTTCTTTTTCTTTTCTCCTCCCTCGAAGATGCAGACGAAGACAGATTGACGGGGCCCGAGACAACGACGATGATGATACTGCAACAGTGATGAAGATCTGGGTGCGAATGGCATAGGGGTGGATCGATGGTGGCCGGTAGTGGGAGACGATGGCGAGCAGCGTAACAGGGGAAGATCGATTCGGGGGAGTTAACTGGTTGGAGTAGATGATGCGAAGGTGAAGGTGGTCTGACGGGTTTCGATTTGAAGGGGAAGGAAGAGACTGATGATTTGGGGGATGTGGGGTTGAAACAGAGACGGAGTTGGGTTTAGGGGGATGTGGGGTTTGAACCATTTTTCTTTTTTTCTTTTTATTAAGTTTTTCATTAATCTATGTGGCAATGTTGTTTAAAAATGTCACCACCACCTCAGCAATGTTGTTAGTCCAGTCAGCTATTTGGTTAACATCGTCAAAAAATTGGACGGAAGTGGCTATTATTGGTATTTCCCCAAAAGTGGCTATATTTGGCAAAACCGTCAAAGTTTTGGCTATACAAGTGTATTTGGCCAATTTAATTTTATCGCCCTAAAATATACTAAAGTGACATATTTACCCCTCAACGAAACTTCAATCCTAATCCGCCGTCCCTCCCAACCCCGACATCGTCACTCCCCATCCTCATCGGCCGCCCACCCCAACCCCAGACGGCCAGACCCAATCCCTCCCGCCATCACCCCTCCCGCACCTAAATCCGGCGTATCCGGCGCCCACCCCAATCCCGTCGTTGTTGTTGACCGCAGGGAGGACTCAGAGGAGGAAGGATTAAGAAAGCATTTATACCCATATATACCCCTAGGCCCTATCCCCAACTTACCATACACTGATACACATGCATATTTAAACGGGTCCAGGAGTGTCAATTTTTTTCTTTGAGCCATTTTATTTCTCCGTGGTGGTAAAATATATATGAAAAGGCAAAAAAAATTCTTTTTATTGCTAAAAAGAAATTTTTTTACAATAAACTAATGCATAGATTCTAATGGGCTAACCGCTAACAATAAAATAAAAGAGTTGAATGGGCCTGACCTACACGAGATTTGGCCATCAAGTAAAACAAATGAACATCATGGGTTTGCCATTCTAAAACAAGCTATTTTCTCTAGTATAATATATATTATGCTATTATTTTATATCTTAGTGGCTAAAATATAATGTATTTTAAAATTGTTCAATGGTTCAATCTCGACCAACCCAATTATAGTTATTTTGAGTATTAAATTTGTGTTGCATTTAATAACCTTTGAGAATTAAAAACTCATATTAATTACATTCCTTTTTTCAACTACCATTGCACATGTACACTGATATCACTGCACTGATACAACTACCATTGCACCGAAAAAAGGAAAAGTAATTCATACAAGTTTTTAATTTCCATGAGATTATTAAATGCAAATACAAATTTATTACCTTAAAAACCTATAATTACTAAGGGTGCCATTTTTTAACCCTTTAGAGCTAGTCATACTATCTCATCCCAGATTTTAATACTCACAATCATGAGCAATTATTCAAGTCACAACCGATATGGTTGCAATTAATATTGCATTATTTCACCGTTAGACTAATTGTTCTTAATTGGAAAACTAAATAGCCATCACCAAATAAAGGTAGCATACCATAAGCTTGTAAATCAGAAAAGAAACTCACCACTCCACCAAATTCATAAACATACCAAAAAACTCATAAAACATACCAGTACGTCAAGCACCATAAAATTTATAAACCACAAGTATCAGAAAATTTATAAAACAGTCGCAAGTCCATTGAAGTAGACTATAAAGTATAAATATCATAAAGTATACCACAAGTTTCTTAAAAAAGACCACAAGACCATTGAAGTCGACCATAAACCCATAAAGCATACCACAAATTCATTAATGCATCCCAGAAATTTATTAAAGCACAACACATGTTTCTTAAAACGACCAAAAGTTCCTTGAAGTATACCATAAACCAATGTTGTTAGAATGAGCCGAAGCATGACCCGACAACGTGAACGACTCGCACGTTAGTGGTCCAACCGACATCAGATCGTTTAAAAATCGTTAGAGAACCGATACTTAATAAACATCATCGGTATAAATAGTGGACTCTTCTTAATCATGGCTCGTCTCTTTCCTTTGAAATGTTGAAATGGAAATTAGAGTTCAGTCGTTTTTAGTTTTTTTTCAATTTTCTGAATTTTTTTAGCATGATGCTACTAACACTAAGGGTAGTTGTTATAGCCTATGGGTAATTACCATTATAACCTTAATAAATATGTTAGCATGATGCTACTAACACTAAGGGGTGTGATCAC